AAAACGGCTCAGGATAATCTCACTTTGCCCTTGCCATCGGTGGGAAAGAACTTTGCGTCATCCATCAACCGCTGCGTTGTCGGTTCATAACCATACCGATGCGATTGCAAACCTCTCCTCTTTCTTCTGTGATGTCTTTGCTTTTTCTTTTCCATTGCCTTGATAAAAGGCTCGCCGTAGTAGAAGGAAGGGTGGGCATCATCATAGGAAGCCATTGCTGACTAAGATTTCTCCTGAGCCCTGTTTCAATATGGCTGGGATGCAACAAATATGCGGTTAAAGTATTGCACTGCCGAGACTGTGCCCAAATCTACTGGCGCGTCGCACTCAGAAAAGGAACATCACAGCATCTGTTTCCACACTCAACTACTCAGTGCGATTGCTCCCGCTCTGCTGGCGGGTTCCAATGAAAAAAGGCAAGGGACACACAGCATCGGATGCCAAGCACTGACCCCCTTGAAAAGCGTGTATTTCGGGTCTCTGTAATGGCCTATTTCGGGGTTCTGTAATGGCCTATTTCGGGGTTCTGTAATGGCCTATTTCGGGGTTCTGTAATGGCCTATTTCGGGGTTCTGTAATGGCCTATTTCGGGGGCTTCTGGAATGGAGGCAGTTGCCTACATCAATGCACAGGCGCGCTCATCGGAAGCATCAGAAGCATCTGGGGCGGTGCTCATAGCTTTGGTCGTCATAACTTTAAGGAGACCCTGCCACCCAATCCCATAGCCGTGGCCGGCATCTTCAAATTCAAGATGCACGGCATATTGCAATGCCAACGCCAAGGTCTGCTTTGCAAGAGTGGCGTGGGCAATCAACTCCTCGGTGCTTTCAACCATACGGGGCATAGCCTGCGACATAATGTAGTCAATCTTCCCCTCTGGTCTCGGCGATGACGACAAGAGGTTGGCGATGATGATGCACAAGGTTTCTTTGGGCACTTGGTCAATCATAGCACTGGCTGTTCCGCTGGGGTTGGTGGCAGTGTCATTCAAGATGCTCTCAATCTGCGCGATGATGTCCTGTGTCAATGCTGGTGTAGGCGTCAGTGCTTTCAACTGGGAGAGGTTGCCTTGGACTTTCGCCTTCAACTCCTTGGGGCTTTTCGGCATAGTCGCATCATCGCCTTTGGGCGCCTTCGCACGCTTGCCACCGCCACTGAGCAGGGGCACAATCTGAAAGGTCTGGTCGCTGTAAGCCTCTAAACTGTCATAGCCCTGCAACACAGAAGCAGTCCCAGCGAACTTCACCTGAAAGAGCGTGGCATCCAACCCAAACTCCGTCAAGGCCTCAAACAGGTTCTCGCCAGTAGCCCCGACCACGTAGTGAAAGACCAACTTGACCGAGCCTTGCTCGGTCTGCACCTCCATCTTCAAGGGCTTTGTGTTGTCGCCTTTGACGTTGATGTCAATGTCGTTGCCGGTCTCCTTCTCGCACAAGGCATTCAACATATCCGACTGCTCCTTTGTGATGTCGCAAAGCACGCGTGTCGACTGTGTTGCGTCCGACACGCTGTTCTGCTCGCCGTCGTCCTCGGCATCATTGCGGTTCAAGAGCACAACATTCTCGGTGGTAAGAATGTCCTTGTCGGCGATGTAGCAACCCTCAGCAGTGCTGACGTGAAGAAGACCCTGCAAGTAGAAGACATGAAAACCAGTAGTGATGGTGGGGGCGCCATACTTGTTCATCAGCAAAATGGTTCGTTTGCCATCTCCTCCGATGTCCTCACGAATGGATTTGGTTGCCGTTTCAAGCGGTGCCATCATCTTATCCATCGCATCAGACACCACGCGACGGATAGAAAACATCTTCTTCGCCTCGGTTGTTGTGGTCAGGATGTTTTCCCAATGCTCGGTAATGTAGGCAATCATTGCTTCCCTCGTCATCTTCCAGCGTTGCTTGTCCTTACTGCTATCCTTCATCACGCCATCCTCCCTGTAAATGAGGCTCACGAGGCACGATTTGGACAATTTGGGCAAGTGGGTTGCAAGGTCGGACTTGGTAAGGGGGACAAGTTCCTCCGTGTCAATGATATGCCCTGTCTCCACCCAACAGGGCACCAAGTCATCACCGCGCTTCACAAACACCACTGCCATAGCACGGTGCTGGAAAGAAGGAAGACACTTGAAATAGGGATGTTCTTTGAGAGGCAGTATCTCAAAGGTGGCAGGTGCGTTGAATGCTTCAAGACTTGCTATGCGCTCACTCTCCTGACGAGAAGCACCCACACAGGCACTTCAAAAGAAAAACGCGCAAGGCGCACCGTCTCGTAGAAGAAGGGCTCGGTGTAGCGATTGCCACCAAGATGCGAGGTAATTAGGTTTAGGGGTTTTCTATCTACCGGCCACAAGTAGGTTCATAATTTATTAATTGGGGAGTTCTTTGGTAGTTATGTATTTAGGGGGATTGTTTGAGGTGGCTAGGTGGTAAATAGATGATTTGTGGTAAAGTGGTGATTGTTGAAGGCGGGGAAGTGGTAAATGAATATTTCGTGGTAAAGTGATGAATGTATGAGGGGACGAAGTGGTAAATGGATGATTTGGTGGTAAATTGGTGAATGTGGGAGGTGGCGAAGTGGTAAATGGATTTGTGTGAATTTGGGCGTTTTCTATCAGCGAACTTACTTGTGACCTTGCCTTGCTGTAAAATCCTCGTTCGGCACGAGAACATGTGTGGCGAACCTCCAAGCCCTTGCAGGGATGCTTTGAACCAAACACATAACCACATACTCGAACTCTAGGTTTTGAAACCTTAGACCGTAACCTCACCTGGCTCGCCGAGTGCGGGTGACAGAAGCTGGCAAAACCACTGCACTGAAAGAGATATGGGGTTCGGCACACCCGTTGCCCAAAGCCCATAGCCCTACACAGTAGGAAAGACGACTATGCAGTGCAGAAAAACAATTACTACATTCTAGTAAGGGCATTGGTACCAAGAAAGCCAACAGCAGGCACCAAAGCCTACAAAAAAAAGACTGGGCCTCCAAAGCTCGACGGGCGAGTCGGGTCAGTTGTCTGGTCAACCCAAACCCCAAAAGGAGATGATGGGTGGCAAACCACTGGTTCCCAAGAAACCCCAATTATGTAACAGATGATGGGTGGCCAAGGAACTTCGTAGATTCGTAGATGGCCAATCTCATTTATAAGCCCTGAAAGGAGTGGCTGGATCCCGAATGAGAGTGAATTATTAAATCATGGATGGCAACACCAGAACATCTCACGTGTATAGTGGATGGCAAACTTTTGACCCTGAGCGGTGTACTGCGACATCAAAAGGCCTCATAAGCCCCAGTCCTAGTAGTGCAGCAACTTGGGCGAGATGACGTTTGACCAAAGCTGCAACCAGCACAAACCCAAATCAAGCAAGATAACTTATACCCTAGACCAAAGACACTCCAAAATATCACATAATTTCTTGCAGTGCTGTAGTAGTGCTACATAAGGCTATAAGGGTCACCCTCTCTGGGAGGCGTAGAACAACTGAGTCTAAGTTTAGAAAAATCCACTTATCGTAAATGCAGAGATTAACACGCGATTTATGCATAAAAACGGATGTGTAATGGGCACTACCCTTTAATACTATTCTTTATTCTACGATACCGCATACGTATGTGTATGTGTTACAATTACATATACTTTGTCGTCAGCCAAATGTACCCTGCCAAGCAGTCGCCAGACACGCCATGCGGGAGCCAACAACATGAAACAATAGAACTGCATACCACATACAGTAGCTCTTCACACCTAACAGATATTATCGAGTAGATTTTGCTATATGAGTTATATAAATTTAAACTTTCCACAGGATATACCGCATCTACTATGTAAGTTGTATAATGTAACACACAATATAAAAACCGGCCCATCAATGCTTCTACAGTTTGCCTTGCGATGAGCTTGGATAGGTGTGGGGTGAGGTTGCACTGGCAGCGAACTGATAACGCATAGATCATTTTCAAGACCCAGCATATGCAAGTAAGTCATCACAAGAATCAAAGGCTCTAGACAGGCCTGTGCAGCAGGCCCGCCAAAATCATAGTTGGTGAACGGTGGCTGCGCATGCATTTGTGCATCTGCCAGCACTGCACTGTCAGGACGTCAGTCCAGAGGTTGCCACCAGATCCTTGGCGCAGACCGTGCGGTGACCAGCCCGCATTCGATTTTCGTTCTGCGAGTGGCGTCACAGTGCAGGATCGCAGGCATTTTACGAAAATTGCTGGCGGATACTAGGGGCGAAAGTCTGGTGGTTCTTTTGAAGGTAGCACTCCCACCTGCAGCAATCTTGCATTTATTTGCTCCGGTGGCTGTTCCAGAACTTCGAAAAAGGTCTCCCTAGGCAGAGCCTTAGACAGCCGAGGCAGTGGCCCTTGCCGGAGAAGCCGTGGCACGCAGACTGCGATCGAAGCATGGCCCAAATTGGGTCGGATTCGAAGACAGGGCTTTCCAGTTCAAGGCTTGTTCCTGGGTCCAGCTGTGTCTACCTTGACCCGGAAGGGCTTTGTGGCTCTCCGGAAAGGATGATCGCAGACCAAATCAGGGCTTGGAGCCTGGCCTTGTCGGACGTATCGTAGTCTCTAGCAAGTTTGATACAATTCCGAGACTGGTTGAACTCTATAGGTCATCCAGTAAAGCTATTCCCCATGCCGAGCCGCCTCCGTAATTCCTGTGCCTCGGCTCAGCGCAGCCATGTATCTCAGGGGAGGTCGTGGCCCTCCACCAGGCTTCTGAGGACGCTGGGCTCGAGTTCCATTTTTCTCGGATGCTGTGAGAGCCCTCGGTTTGACCAGCGAGACGAACTGTATTTATGCACCTTGCGTACTCAGTTCGTGCTGGCAGAATTCCTAATTATTTGTGTATAAATGCCGCCCGGCAGGACAGCGCAGATCAAGTCCCGGCGGAAGAGCTTCCCAGCGAGTCCAGATCGATTTCTCCGCTTAGGGACCATGGAGACCCTTCAAGCCCAGGTGAGGATTCACTACCAGAAGCCCCGGAGCCTGCGAAGGCGATGGAGAGGGCCAAAGTAATAACTCCGTCGGCTTCCCTGCCAGCTCACAAGTCTTCCGGAAGAGCCAGCCTTGGGCGCACTGGACGGCCCGCTCCCTTATACCTCCCACAGGAAGATGTCCATCGATGTTCCCACGAGTTGAAGACAATCGCTCAGGGGATATCAACGATACACCTGCGTGAGCTTCGGATGCTCAAGCGTCCTCCAGCAGCAGTGGTGACGGTTCTCGAGGCATTGAAAGTCATCTTGGGCGAAGGCCAAACCGGCGGCTTCAAGAAGCTGCTGTCAGACTCTCTGCCGCAGAGGCTGGAAACTTTCGACCCATCCTCGTTGAACACGCTGCAAGCTTCCAAGCTGAAGTCGCTGCTCGGTTCCGGAACCATCCACGCCGAATCCATGTCGAAGATGTGCCTGCCCTGCACAAACTTGACGAAGTGGTGCGATTGCATCTATGGGTTGTTGCTGGGTGAAGTACGACATGGCAGCAGACATGTGACCGAGGAGGCAATGGGACGCAGGAACACTGACTCTTCCAATTCTCACGGCACAGGTAGCCACACAGATCTTCACGACCGGCAGGCAAGCAGGCATTCCGGTCTCTTGCATGTTGAACCTGACCTGTCTAAGCTAAGCAAGGAAGAGCTGGCATCGGTAAATCAGCTCACTGTGACCAAACCTGGTATAGGCTCAGTCCTGTTCCATGGCATTACAGACTGTACTGACCTTGATATTCAATCGGACATTGTGCTCAAAAGGGGGTATGTGCTGGTGTACCCGGACGCCTCACGAAAGCCTCCTGTCGGCCAGGGTCTCAACAAAAGGGCCACTGTCACAATGTACCAATGCTTCCCACCCGGCGAGCGTGTGGAAGACAAGCAGGTGCTGGAGGAGTACAGGACAAAGATCAAAACAATGACCGAGGAGAACAGAGCATGTAAGTTCATTGACTACGATTGCTTGACCGGCGTATGGACGTTTGAGGTCGGACGGTTCTGAGGGGTGATTCGGGACAGCTTTTCCAGACCTGCGGCACTGAAAGAGGCACCTGCTGCCTTTTCAGTCCGTGGTCTCGTGCAATTTGATTTGTTATAAACACCCGACAGCCCTCCGTTGTCCGACACCCAAGTCCGTGTACAAAAGGATGGGGACTGTAAGTGATGGGCGGACGGCCGAAAGGTGCCTGCACCGGCGACATGGCCGCATCATCGCAAGATGGAAAAGCAGAGCAATCCTGAAATTGCTGCCGAGAGACTGGCAGAAACAGTTGCAGCCGAGGGTCCAGAAACGCACTTGCTGTTAAACGAATCATGTTCATGGGTCCGGAAGCTAAACTTTGCGCACGCTTGTGTCCAGCATTTGCCTGATCAGGTCTTTGATGTTCAGTCCAGGCTGCCGAATCCTGTGACGAAGCAGGCGACAACACTAGGGTCGCTGGTGCTATCAAGACTCACATCAGACATCAGAGGCAAATATGCTTATAGGTACACGTCGCGTCCAGCATCGGGTGTCCAATGGGCAGCATGTACTGTAGCCTGTCATGTCATACAAAGCCGCTGAAGCGTCTTCAAGCCAAATCAGCATATGCAGGCGACAAGCCGGAATGCTGCAATGCATGCCCCCAGGAATCTCGAGAGCACCTTCCTAACCAAGTTGAAGCAAGCAGACCTGCAGCAGGAAGTTGGTTACGTTAACCTTGCCATGTCGGGCCCTCTTGCGAGTCCGCGCCTAACGCCGCCTCGTCTGCCGACACCTCCGCCGCTGCTGATGCCACTCGTGCCGTGCCCTTTGCTTGTGCCTTGGCATCAGGCATATACCCGTTTTGAAGGGGATGCACGGTCATGCATCCAGCTGTTCTCAGTTCTCGAATCATCAGGTTGGCACACCACCGCAGCAGCCAGTAACAAACCCAATCTCCTTCCACGGATGCTACAGCACCTCCCCCATGGGACCTTCGCATGTGGCCAGAGGGCCTTCGCCCACTCGCCGAGCTTGGTCACCCCCACCACAAATGATGCCCAGAACCCTTTCACCACCTCCGATGCAAAGAGTGCAGGAATCCACCAGGCTTTGCAGCCCTCCCAGGCTTGTGGCTCAGGCTCAAGCGCAGACGATCCACGTGCAACAGTTTTCCCCCAGACCGCATTCGCGTGCTCCTCAGGCCCAAGTTCCTGCCCTGGCCAGCCCGACCCAAGCTCCCAGCCTTGCCCTGGCCAGCAAGGCTGCTGGCCTCCCGAGACCGCAGCCACAGCAGACACAGCAGACACAGACCCAGGCTCGGAGCCCTGGTTTTAGCCCTGCTGGTCCACCACAAACTCAAGTACTCCAAAGCCAGACCCAGACCCAACGGAGGCCGATCCCGTACCCAGCCGTCCATGTTCCTCCTGCGACGGTCTTGGCATCGCATGGTGCAAAGCCTGTCCCAATAGGCGCACGTCCACCTGCCAGTTGGGTTCCGGCTTCGCCACGTGTCCCAGATCCATTCCAGAGACCCGCGTCCCCGCATTTGGTCAACTCTCAGCACTTGCCAGTGGAGTACATCGCATCTCCGGAGCAGATGCGACTGAGCAGCCCTGATCTGCGAAGCTTTTGTGACTGTAAAACCTTTGCTAAAAATCTGAAGCGTTCGCCGTAATGCCACAGCCAAGGTACCGCATGCTTGCTACACAGGGAAGCATGGCACCTCCCATGGTCCTGCAACTGGGATGCAGTCGACACATGTGTCAGCCCTCGTCCTGAGTCATGAAGCTTGGAAGGCAACTTTCAGCGCGCTCCAGTCCAGAGCTCACGCCCCGGAAGCCCGCAGCCGAGAAGCTCAGCGCGAGCCCTCAGGAGGAGGTGGAAGGGAAGGCAGAAGGAACTCTTGCAGTGACCGCAGCTCCCTGGCAGGAGCCTGCGGATTCCTTGGCGAAGCAGCTGCGCGCCCTTCAAGCAGCAAAGGCCGGTGCACCTGCGGGGAGCTGGTGTTGGGGGAAACTTGGAGGAGGAACAGAGGCATCAAAGCCACCAGGACGAGCTGAAAGAGCGGGCATCAAAGAGATGTGTGTTGTGGAACTTTTCCAGGTTGATGCTGCTGCCAAGCAGGCCGGCTCGAGGGGCGTGCAGGTCCGATTTCTCGAAAAAGCCGGCAGCCTCCGAATTCCGACAGGTAAAAGGCGACCAGCTGATAGCGCAGCGTCAGGACCAGTTGAGAAAGGAGCCGGAACCAATTTTGCAGGAAAGCCTTTGCGTTCTGGTTTCCTATTTTAAGACCACAGCAGCACTGCAGCCAGGGCCCCGGGTACCAGGACACTGCACTAATCCGACCTGCTTGCAGTCCCGCTGTCCAGCTACCTTTCGTGAGAATGAGAACCCATTCCTGATTGCGGGTCAGACTTGAAAGAGGCTTGCAGCTTGCAAGGCAGTTGGAAACACCTGCAGCGAAACCCGAAATTCGCAGATGACCTGGACTTTTGAAGCTTCGTTGTCGCAGTCTTGTCGTTGTGGTGGCTGTTGTGCCCTTAGTCGTGATGGGTCCTGATTGTGGTTTTGGTGGTCGTTGTCGTCGTGGTCACGACTGTGGTCCTGGTTCTGGTCTTGCTCATTGTCGTCGTCGCCACCGTTGGACAGTCGTCGGCGGCGGCGTTGGTCGTGCTACCGTTTTTTTATCTTGCCGGTCGTCTTGTGTTTGTTCTTGTTGCTTCTTGCTGTGTGTGTGGCGCTTGCCGTGGATGATGATGGTGATGCTGATGCTGGTGATGACGAAGGAGGTGTTGCTGGCGGTGACGACGATGATGTTGTTGCTGCTGTTGTTGGTGGTGATGCTGTTGCTGCCGTTACTGTTGCTGTGTTTGTGTTAGTGTTGTTGTTGTTGGTGGTGGTGGTTGGTGGTGGTGGTTTTGGTGGTGGTGGTTTTTGGTGGTGGTTTTTGGTGGTGGTGGTGGTGGTGGTGGTGGTGGTGGTGGTGGTGGTGGTGGTGGTGGTGGTGGTGGTGGTGGTGGTGGTGGTGGTGGTGGTGGTGGTGGTGGTGGTGGTGGTGGTGGTGGTGGTGGTGGTGGTGGTGGTGGTGGTGGTGGTGGTGGTGGTGGTGGTGGTGGTGGTGGTGGTGGTTGGTGGTGGTGGTGGTTGGTGGTGGTGGTGGTGGTTGGTGGTGGTGGTGGTGGTGGTGGTGGTGGTGGTGGTGGTGGTGGTGGTGGTGGTGGTGGTGGTGGTGGTGGTGGTGGTGGTGGTGGTGGTGGTGGTGGTGGTGGTGGTGGTGGTGGTGGTGGTGGTGGTGGTGGTGGTGGTGGTGGTGCCGCTGCTGCTGCTGTCGTCGTTGTTTTGGTTGTGGTGGCTGTTGTCGGTGGTGCTGGTGCTGGTGCTGGTGCTGCTGCTGCTGCTGCTGCTGCTACTGCTGCTGTTGGTGGTGCTGCTGTTGTTGCTGCCGTTGTCAATGTTATTGTTGTGGTTGCTGTTGCTGCTGCTGTGGGTGCTGCTGTTGCTACTATTGTTGCTTCTTGTTGCTGTTGTTGTTGCTGCCGCTTTTGCCGGTGCTGTTGCTGGTGCAGGTGCTGCTTGTGGTGGTGCTGGTGCTGGTGCTGGTGTTTTTTGTCGTTGTCGTTGTCGTCGTCGTCGTTGTGGTTGATGTTGTTGTTAGTGGTGGTAGTGTTGCTGATTGTGTCGTTGGTGTTGTTGTTGTTGCCATTGTGGTTGCTGTTGGTGGTGGTGGTGTCGGTGTCGGTGTTGGTGTTGGTGTTGGTGTTGGTGTTGCTGCTGTTGTTGCTGTTGTTGCTGTTGTTGTTGTTGTTGTTGGTGGTGGTGGTGGTGGTGGTGGTGTCGGTGTTGGTGCTGTTGCTGTTGTTGTTGTTGTTGTTGTTGTTGTTGTTGTTGTTGTTGTTGCTGTTGTTGCTGTTGTTGCTGTTGCTGTTGTTGTTGTTGCTGATATTGTTGTTGCTGTTGCTGCTGTTGTTGGTTGCGGTGGTGTTGTGTTGTGTTTCTTGTTTCTCACTTCTCGTTTCTTGCTGTTGCTGTTGCTGCTCCTGTTGCTATTGCTGTCGGCCTGACAGCCGGAGCTATCCAAAACGTGCAAAGTCGTTTGTGGCAAATATACAGCATAGAGTCAAGACACCCATTGTTAGAATGCCAGCATTTCTTCCGGACGCGAACCTGAATGTTGATACTACCCATAAACCTTGATGCATGTTCAGCAGTAGCTGGAGTCATACTGACCCACACATACACACAGGCGCCAATGAAACAGCCATCTCAGGCATTATCAAACCAAAAACAACGGTGCTGTAAGCAAGATTCGTAATCCTCGTTCGCTTTATTTGCCTCTCCAGTGCAGGGTTTTGTAAACCCGTCTTAGCGCAGTGTTCCCAGACACGTAGGCCTTGTACTCGTGTTTACGGCTACATGCGGCCACTACATCCACATGTAGCCTCGTTTTGTCCGTCCATCGAGATTTGTTTTGCGAGTAGTAGTGAGTAGTGCCTTGCCTGTTAACCTCCGAGGCTTGATGCAGTCATGATTGTCATGATACGTCACGTATTTAATGTTGGGAATTGACAGGTAGCTTCGGGAGGGGTCACCAGGGACCGACTTGTGCGCAGGGTTTGCCTAGGCCCGAAACAAGATATTTGGTCAAGCGGTCATTGTTTCTGGACGCCGTCGTACGTTGGTCACCCGTACGTAGTAAATCGTATTCCCAAAGACATAGCGCGGAAGTTTGTTTAGCCGCGACTAGTCAGACTTACCCAAAAGAGTCAAAAAAGCAGACTGCACGCCAGGGGTGGTTCAGGACTTGTCCTTCTGAGGCTTTGAAGCAAGCTCGAGTCTTCACGAGCTTCAGAGCTTCACTTGTTCTACGAACCAGCTGCGGCGATCCCTCAGCAAAGCATCAAAATCTCAACAGATTCGAGAAACTTGACAAGCTGACAATGTGCTGAATCGCAACTCCTTGTGCGCAGTTGGTTTGCGGTAACCTGTTGCCCAAAATAACTTACTGCCGCAACAGTGCGAAAGAAGCAACATCCCCGGCACACCTTTCGCGCCGTTCTCGTGCATGGAATCCGGCTTCTCGATTCCCTTGCCAGGATCCCTTATCCGGAGATTAGGAGAGGCCGCAAAAGAAAGCGAGCGAATGAGCAGAATGGACATAAACTCGATACGTACTACTCACCAGCACCACCTCTGGCACAAGTGATGGTAGTGTAGCAGCTTAGCATGGCATGCGTTGTAGAGTTGTAGAGTCGCAGACTTATCGCAGAATCATGGCGTACGATGCAGGAGACTTTCTCGGCATTGTCCGCAGACAACCTCGGTGATCTTCTGAGGTGCAATCTGCAGTGCCGGCGTTCCGTCCAGGGCAGACGAACCCCTCTCGGTGCCCAGGCGCTGGGGTCCCCCCCCAGAACAACCTGCCGATTGGGAGACGCCACGACACCGGGCCAAAACGCAGTCACGACTTCCGACTTGCCGGGGTCACTTCCAGCAGTCTTCCAGCTTACAGGTTTTCGGATTTGCTGACTGGAGTGAACTGCCCATGATGGCAACTGTTGCTCGGCAGTGTCTTTTGACCCTTCTCGGAGGTGATGCGCTTTAGGCGGGAACACAGCAGGCAAGGGGCAAGGATGGAAAGATGAGGCAGGAAGGAAGTAGTTCCTGAGTTTTGTTGAATGCTGATCTGCTTGATTGAACTGCGATGATTTCACATCTTCCAGTCTTTTTGCAGTATTTGCTAGCAGCACTTGTGTTGCTACAACGCTCCGATTGTTGTTCTTTCGGTTTGCCTTCCCCTTCATTGCAGCCCGAATATCGATTGCCTGTGAGCTTTAAACCTATTAGAACAAGGCCGCGGAAACCAATATTAATGGGTTTCCTGCCAAAGAACGACGATGTTCGGATCCTGCCCTTTGCTTATTCCACGAGGGGTTCGACAAAGTTTGTTCAAAGCATACCATCGACTAATCAGCGGGGCAGGGGTGACTTCTCGGGTACAGTCGTGGCATTCATGCATGTTCTTATTCCAAGAACAGCCATGAAGCATTGAGTTCTGGCCGAGGATCTCGTCACGAGACGCTGACCGAAAGCCCCGTGCCGGTGGTGGAGGACTCGCCACACGAGGCCATGGACGAGAGCCAGGATCAGACGCTGGAGGAGCTTCCGAAGGAGCTGCTTGCGAGGTTCCACAGATGTTTTAGACTGCCTGAGCAAGTAAGTCAATCTGTTCAGCCACACCCTTTTGCAAACAGACTGCACGGTTACAAACCGTCAATCCCATACAAGAAGGTCAATGATGTCGTGTGGCCTGCCACAGCGCCAAGCAAACTACAATCCACTCGACTGGAACTTTTGCCGGAGTAGTAGTAACAGTGTGGCAACCACTCCCCCAAGTGGCCTCAAAGAGTGCGGCAGTGCATCCAATATTGCCCTGGAGATGCCAAAACCAATTTTGGTTTGCCATGAGAATCCAACATTCCAGACATCAAAGATTGGTTCTGGCATGTCCGCAAGAGTAGGATGTTGGATTTTTGCAGGAATTAGGCGTGTTGCGGCTGCGTGGGGCTTGCCATTGCGGGAGTTTGTTCAGTCTTGTGCAAATCGCCAGGAAGTTTGCATCTTTGCAGTTGTTTTTTACAGAGATGTTGGTCAAAAGTGGCTTAGTATCGAAAATTTAGGTGTATGTTAGTATGTTGTTCAAGAGATGGTGCTTACAGATGATGCAGGGTATGCGTTGCACATGTTCGTAAACTGTTCATCTCTCACCCCAGCTGGAGCTCATTGGCTACCAGCATCTACCAGCGCTTTGCGATCCATGTGTTTATTCTTCAAGCTTCTCAAGCGGTATCGGATTCAGGTTCGACGAGTTGTCTTACTCAAGCATACGATATTCATCTATTCTTGAACATTTAACATTCAGATGATGGCTTTTCGTAAATGGCGTTGTCCAGTTAGCTTTAAGTTGATGCCTGCCTGCCTACTCTATGATCAGCCTTCATGGTAGAGTGTAGATACATGATGTTCAGCTGGTTTTTGAACTGCGTGTAAGCACTGTGATGTTCAAAACCCATATACAGACTAGTTCAGCATGTTCGGAATTCTTGGTCAGTGTGGCATCTATCTGAGAAGTCCATATTGATGGAATTTGAACAGTCTTTCAGCACAGCAATGACAACTAGATAGATGGTTACTTTTGCTCATCGTCTAGCTATGTTTAGAAGTTGAAACGCAATGTTGCATTGAGGAGGAGAGAGCAGCAAATACGAAAACATCCCGAAATCATGAATGAAATGGTACATACTACAAGTGTATTGATGCACTGGATATTGGGTTAACTATCATGGAAATAGTAGGTGGTTCAGTTAAGCCAGACTAAGCACTACTAAATGTCAGCTACAGTGACATGTACAACACCAAAGCTGCCGTACCAAAAGTATTGAGTAATCATTGAGTGATGTTGGAATAGCAGCCGCGGTCTTAAGCAAATGCAAGTGAAACATTGGTCAAATGTCATGTGAACATGAAGCAATGAACACAGACATGCTAACCCACAAACTGGCTAAGTCAAACATGAATCATATGTGTCAAAAGCGGCACTAGCGAATCATTGAACATCAGTTGGGCGTTCAACGAAGGTTTCCATAAACATTAGGAAAAAAACAAAATTAGCAAAAACCAACCTGCCATACGGCTTCGTGACTTGATGAAATGTGATTGGGGACAAGCAAACATCCGTTCGATATTCGTGTAGGTAGAGTCAACCACGGAACCCAAACTTGCGTCAATACCAAGATACCACCAGCGCTCTTGTTAGCGAATCTGTGGCCTTGTTGCCTCCTGTTTTGTTGTAACATGAATAGAACCTGATTTGCTGTCTTTGTGACAATGATTCAGTGATGATGGTTCCGATCGCTCATACTTCTGTCACTGTAGCTAGTATTGCCAGATTACTTCTACCTCTACAAGGCGAACGCAAGCAAACTGCTGAGAACCCATGTCACGTATTGATTTTGCATTGACTATTGTGGAAAGGGGACTGTTTGTGGCAGTGGACGCAAACATGAATGCATCAGAACTGGCTCGTTTCCGCGGCGTAGTTAATCTACTGACGATGTGGCCATCCAGCACCTTTACTTGCGAGGCATACACTTCTGCATACCTGCACGAAAATTGCATGTCCGGCTTTACGACAGCTTGTCCTGCTAGTCTTACTACTCCATGAGATGCGGTATCATGGCAAATTCAACAAAATGCCCTTTGCAAAGACATTACCATCATCACAGCAAGTTGTCAGAACATGCCACTCCACGCGGTAGTATCCAGCAAATCATATCTACCATCAGCAGCAAGCGAATCTATGATAGCTTGACCGAGGTCTTTCAATCTCTAGTGGTTCTTGTCTGTCTTTTCGCTATGTTTGAATAAAGTACGCTGGTTGTGACATGAAGAATGTATCACCGTATCCCCAAGACATGCTGAGAACTACACCAGGGGCCTAACATAGCCTCAAACTACCATTTTCGCTGTGTCATGCCGCGTGTGAGCTGCAAACCAACCACCCAAACATTCCACGGGAAAGCTCAAGGCCCAAGCCGCTCCACATCCCTGGGGGGCGGGAGGGGGGGGGGGGGGGGATGACCAAATGTGTGGATACCGTTGCAATGGGCAGGGGCAGGGAGCGAAGGGCTCCAAACATAAATGCACGTACATACATATACATATATACATACATACATACATACATACATACATACATGTATATATATGTATATATATATATATATATATATATATATTTGTATTTATATTTATATTTATATGGTGCAGCGCTGCTCGGCCCCCATGGGTATCCCTCTGTGGTTCCCTGTGGTATGGGTTCCCCCCTGCCCCTCCCCCTGTGATTGCGGTCAGCTGCGCCCGCTTCCATGGCTATTGCTGGTTGGGCGTCCGGTGGCTAGCGTTCGGACCCTAGCATATGATACAGTTCCATTGAACTCCGACTTGCCCTGAGCTCCAAAGCCACTGATAGTGATGAGTATTGTTATGGTGGTGATGATGATGATGACGAAGATGATGGTCATGATCCCCATCCGCACTTTCCTCCAATCCCTTGCTTACGAGACCAGACTGAAAATTATTCAAACATGTGCTCAAGCTTACCTTCGACGAACCCAACCGAAGCTAGGCTTGGAATGACAACGGTCGATACAGTTTTCGCGAGAACATCACAAGCCAAGCACGATTTGCATTTTTAGCAATGAACATGTGGTGCCGAATCCCAGAGCAACATAATAGCAAAGGTACCACCAACAGCCACACGGGCAACAGCACATCAACGTCATTGTGCACAACATCATCCCCATCATTCTCATCTGTGGGAGCGGAAGGGGCCCTGTGGTTCCTGTGTTGTGGGTTATCCTTCCTCACCCGGCCCCTGTGGTTCCCTGTCTTGTGTTTCCAAGTGTTGTGGGTTATCCCTCCCACCGCCGCCGTTTGCCGAGGCGAGAGGCCTGGCTTGGGGGCAGGGGGCATACCATGGAGGGTGGGGAGGGGGGTCTGCGACGCGGCAACACGGCACCATATATGGTGCAGCTTGCGCACAGTTTCTTTTTCACTGGCCGCTGGGTTACCCCCAGCATATGCGATCCTTGGGAGAACTCGCTATCCGGGAAGCCCATATGCAAAGACGTGCCAGTGGCGCATCACTCACAAGCACGATGCAAGGTGGCAACGCAACTCCTCTCCTTTCGAGCATTGCAAAGCGGGGAGCGAAGACCCACCATTGCTTGCACGCTGGTAAGGAATATTGACGGGTTGGTGGTTTTGAACCGAGGAGTGGGCCACCCCCCTTACATCTATTTTTGGGTTGTTCTCTTCCGAGACGAACCAAAATGGGGTGAAAGGTAATGCCTTCTCACAGGGCTGAATGTGCCCGACCTTGCTTGTCAGAAGACGCAAAACTCGTCTTCACAGCAGTTGCATAATACTTGGCTCAAACCCCCTCTAACTCAGCTTGGTGCTGCATTGGGACAGGAGCCACCGGCAGAAGCGGAGGAGCAGGAACCACCCAGCGAGCCTGCACCCAGCCTTCCGGCGCATGAACGGGCCAAGCAAGTTTCAAAGGCCGTCGCCTTTTTGACAGCAATGCCTTCCAAGCAGTAGGACTAAGCAGCACGGCGAATGGAGAACAGGGTGTGTCCGGTCCTGGCAGGCCTCCACAGGCAGTGCACGCACTGCAGATGGGGAAGCTTGCAAAGAATTGACCCAGCAGAGCTTAAGCCGAAGCTCTCGAGGCGGGCGACAACCTTTCCGAATGTTGATTATCTTGAGCCAAGACAGGAACAGAAACGCCTGCCTCGGTACGTGGACAGGTTGTCTTTTTGACAAACACAGCTGACAACCCTGAGTCTGAGAGAGAGAGAGAGACCTGATTGCAGTTGCTGAGTGCAGAGACTTCTCTTTTGGACAGTCGAGAGCCGCGGTTGGTGGGTGCCTTCTTTCTCCTCCGCAACAGTCGGGGGCGCACGAGCGCGCGGAGTAGGAGGTAAAACCCCTACACCATAGCCCTGGCGAAAGAAAAGAGAGAGATACCAGAAAGGCCTGGCCTGGAAAACTAGGACCGCCCCACGAAGACCCTCAGCTCAGACAGTAAAGTTGTACTTATACCGACGCTCGTTGTAGGCCCGACATCAGTCGATGCCACCTGTCAGAGTTGTTTGGATCGCTGCTTTTGCACCTTTTGGCCGCAAATGCATTATACTTGTAGTTGCATTTCTCTTCCTTTGTCGTTTTTGGTAATATTCGGCAGTCCCTGCCTTAGTTGGTGTGCGCGGCAGAAAACTTTTGACAAAGGCAACCGTCAGCGGCGCACAAGCGCGCTGTGGAGGGCCACAACCCTCCACCATAGCCCTGGCGAAAGAAAGACTGATGATGATGAAGAGAGAGAGAGAGAGAGAGAGAGAGAGAGAGAGAGAGAGAGAGAGAAGTGAAGCAGCTCGTAGCCCAAGCCTGAAGCAAGGCAAAGCACGCAAGCAAGGGAGAGTCTGTTTGATTTGATAACGTATTGAAACCGATGAGTTGGATCTTGGCACTTCGTACTAGTACGAGTGTTGGCTGGCGAAAGGCCGACGACCGTCGTCCCTGCTCTTACCCGCGGAGGACATCAACATTGAAAGGGCATGCTGAAGGTTTACATGCTGCATGCGACGAAGCCCATGCTTCGGGCTAGTTTCCCTGCATGTCGGCCACTGCAGCCATTGCGGACATTTCCTCTCTCAGTCAGACTCGGACAGGATGCCCGACGCTGCACAGCTGAGCTCGCAGTACTGGCACGAAATGTGTCAGCCAAGGCCTGGCTGCTGGGAAGGTTGCATTGCAATGCCCAACTTCGTCCGGCGGTAGATGTAAAAACTACGTACGAGAGGAAAACGCTGAATGCCTGATACGTCCGGACTACTGTCGGACTGGTGAAGTTGCCGCACATGGACATAGGCAAGATGACGAATCTTGCTGAGCTTTCCCAGCTCCGCCTGGACTTTCAGCTCCAGACTGTGCATCCATGCCCGCTAGGAAATCCGCGAGCTTCGCATGTTGAAGCGGTGCCACGCCTGCAGTTGAACTCGGATTGGGGGCTTGTGAGGATTCGCATGACAAAGCAGTTGATGGACTGCAGCAGAAACATGACTTCGAGGTGTCGCTAATTGAGAACTTGGAGCATGAAGAGACAAGCCACTCATGGCCTCGCATGTGCAGTGCAGCTTGCTAGGCCTCCGCAGCCAAGGGGAGCCAAGTCAAGCTCGTGTCATCTCGTGAACCCTGACTCAGGCCGCCGGAGGCTGTGATGAAGCTCTTGGAAGCGCTGAGCACTTTGTCTGAAAGGGGGGGCATGGTCAAAAGGAGGGTCCGTCTGCAGGAGAAACTGGCCTGCCAGTTTATGTTCGGGTACAGGACACTAAAATGCCAAGCGGCATAGGTCTCCCTGTCTTTGCGTGCCCGATCCCCTGCTCCCGTGAGCCTTCCCACTCGAGTGGGACAAAGGGTCGCATCGCCAGAAGGCCACTCCTTCCGGCGATTTTACTCGCGGTGTAAACCTCGGATTAATAGCCTGTTCCATTCGCGAGGTGAGGTTCTTCTCGCTGCACGTACACTTTGTGTGTGACAGATAGAGCTTCGTTTGTATATAGAAGTTGCTGGTGTGATTTTGGCGATCCGAGTAAACTGTATCCAGCCCGTGCCTGGATAAACCTGACCTTTGGGGAAGATTGCAGGCACGTAGGCTTTCACAGGCACTGCTGCCCACCGACGGAAATGTTCAGGCATCCAGGGAGAATAGCACGATTTGAACCTGACATAACGATAATTGTATGGATTCAAGTCTTGCCTGTACGATCGCCCTGGATCGGTGCACACTGCACATCCAGTGCCCCGTATTCCCTTCCCTTGTTCGTCTTTGCGTTGATGTTTTGCCGACAAGTGCCGAAACCTGCACTTATTAGTCTACGTCAATTTTTCGTGTCCCAACTTGCACGGCTATGGTGGGGGGACTTGTGCTGCTCTTGGCTGAGTCAGTGTCTTAGAGGGAAATCTGGGAGATGTTCCCAGCCCTGGGGTCTTCCGGAAGTGCACCAATCGTTTGGCCAAGCACAATCGCGCAAATCTTCCCATGGGTTTCATGGGCCTTAGCCGTGGCCAGCAACCCTCGAAGATGCGAAACCACACTGAAAGCACACGGGCATTTCCACAAAGACTAAGCTTGAAAGGGGTTTGCGGCGTCAACGCTCGTGTCGAGAGTAAATCCTGTGCGCGGACCCAGGAGTTGTGCTGGGCGAGAAGGACTTGAAGCCGGCAAACTTCCGGAGCCTGGTGTTTAAAAGCGGTTCCGCCTGGGTCGGAAGTCTCATCTCACGACAGAAAGTTTGCACCCTGAACCCAGGAAACTGCTTTCAGACTCCCTTGCGCAGCGCCTGGCTGCGGTGGATGTCGCCTCCATTGGTACTGCCCGAGGCGCCAAGCTTCGGTGCCTTGGGCACAGAGCATCAGCTTAGGCATATACTTCCCCCGTTGTTCGGATTGATGGGGCGACAATGCAGGGAGCACATCTCAAGATGCAGCATACACAGCTGTTGCGCAGGTGCCGGTCGCTCGGGCAAATGCTCGCTTGTACCAAGCAAATGGTAAGCAGTCAGCACAGATAAAGTTCATGTTTCTCGTGCAGGCCAGGCATGAACACGACACAGATTGCACTCATCGGCCGGTGCCGGCCAGGAGGTAGTTGTATCTTCCACGTCACGAGCAGCAAATGGAGAGGAAGGGACCTAGGACCTAGGCCGTGCGAAGCTTACTCTAGAGTTATCTGGCTCTAGCTCCAGAAATCGGATTCCATGAGCACCATGAGACAATAAGCACCCTGCACTGCAAATATGCGCAAATTCCACTGTCGAGCAATGAAGCGCGTAGTCGAGGAGACGACGCTGAACTAGGGAGCGTATATATTTCGCACGACATGATGAAAACGTACAATGCGAAAAGCATGTGCGTCGCGAATATACAAGGTCACTGCTGAGCTCCCCAGACGTGAGCGCAGAAGCAGTTTCCAGGCCAGGCACCCGCGGGCTCAGCGTAGGCAAGAACTGTAGGGAGTTGGAGGACTCAGAATGTCAACATGCACTCAGGGACGATTTGGCTATGAGAGCACAAGAACCGGGGTCGCAGATGGCATGCTGCACACGCTGAACAATTGTACTTCAATGCTGCGCTGCAAACTGGCCCTTATGAAGTGCTGTCGATGCTTGGGACAGGTCCAGGGAGTCCAGGGAGCATAAGCTTGAGTCAGAAAATTTCAGACTTTGACTTTAGCTTGATCCAGGCAGCATGCAGCTGAATCACACAAATTCCTGTCCTCTTGTGCTTTGAGCTGTACATTGCTTGGCTGCAGGATTTGCCGGCCCGGCGCATCCCTCGCCGAGTGGTGCGGCTGCTTTGACCTCAGCTTCATCTTAAGAAGCGTTCTCGCCCTGTGGAATTGAAGCTGCTTGTGAGCCGAAGCGGAGGCTTTGGCCCGGCAGCAGAGCTGCATATGCCCATAATCCCATGCCCGCTAAGGTCTGTACTCTTTCCTTTCTCGTGCGCAAGATCAACCAGATCCAACGAGCACTGAACAGCGGCCATTTGGCACAAGGTAGTGTTTGGACCGCCTTTCATAGAGTGGCTTTCAACGATTAGCCCTATTGATGCCGTCTGCACACCAACGACCCTAAAGTCTAAAGCTCTGGGCCACTGGGTCAGCATCAGAGCTCCGTCTTGAGGACCGGAGAATTTGGTGGTTTGCAGCCTAGGATTGTTGAGACAGAGAAGCCGCAAGAGAACATCACGCCGCGGCCTGTCATGGACAACCCGAAATTGATCGTGGAGCCAGATCTGTCGCAGATGAGCAGCGAAGCGCCTTGGACATTGCCATTGAGACTATTATCACTATTATCATCTGTTGCGGTGTTGCTGAATACAGAGGCATTTCTCCTACCTGTACGAGCAGCAGGCCCAACATGGCCCAACACCCTCTCGGCAAATGTACCAATTGAGTCGTACTCATAGGTCACATTCTGACATTGTAAGGGGCATAATGCAGTATCACATCAGGAGTTGGCAGAAGTGTATGACCTGACCGTGACGAAACCGGACATCGGGTCAGTCGATCCTTGGACAGAATTGGCCCGGAGTGGGTTTCGACCCTCCCGACTGATTCTCTTCAGCCAGTTGAAGGTTCAAAGAACTTCTCGGTCGGGACGAGTGTCATGCCATTGACACGTCGCCAATAGTAGTAGACGCATGCAGGGCAGCTTGGGGCCTTTTTGGCTTCTACCACAAGCCCAACAAGCCGCTCTCTGCTGAAAGAGAGGTGTTCCATGGCGTCACAGATTGCCGCGACCTGGACATCGCACAGACGGTGGTGCTTAAACGGGGCTATGCCGCCCGGTTGCCAGAGCCTGGACTACGTGTACCGATACTTCAATCACATACGGCGGTCCCCGACCGGTTTTGCTTTCTCTGCGGATGTGCTCAGGTTCTGGTTTATCCGGATCCGGCCAAGAAGCCCCCGCCTGGCGAGGGCCTGAACAAGCACGCGACCGTGACGATGTACCAGTGCTTTCCTCCAGGCGTCTGTGGAATTGCGTTGGAATCGGCAGATTTCCTAGCCTAGTTTTCCCTGAGCCTTCCGAAATGACGCGATACGTTGCTTGGTTGTTGCATTTTCTGTATCCGAAGACCTCCATCATGACTTTTTATTTGCTAAAAGAGCCAAGCACGAGTTCATAACTTCATGTGGCTAGCCACAGCTAGCATACAAAACCAACCCTGCACGCATTGTGGACAGAGTGCTCCCTCGCCACAGTGTGAGGAGGACATGTAAAGGACGAGCAGGCGCTGGCGGACTACAAGGCGAGACAGTGCATCATACTGCGTATACTGCCTGAGCAGACATGAAGACTGGTTTGCTTGCAGAGGGGGAGGCTAGGTGAATCGGTCATTGTAAGATACTATTGCTAGTACTACTCGTTAGCGAGGCTCTGTGATGAACGGAAGCCAGCGAAGAGGATTTTGTGTGTGGTTGCTTGAGGTTCCAGTACTGTCCCTTGGACTGCCCTCACCGGGTGCACGCACTTATACCAGGTCAAGATCAAAAAGATGACCGAAGAGAAAAGCGCCTGCACATTTATCGACTACGACTGTTTGACGGGAGTTTGGACATTCGAAGTCGAGAGATTCTGAGCTGCTGAGTGGTGCTAGTGATGCTTCACACCGGGTTCTGTGCTAGACAGATCCATCAATGTGGAACTAGAAAAGCTGAGCAGCCAGTAGTTCCGACAGAACCCAAATGTCATTCAAGTTCACCGCTCTGGCTGAAAACCGGCTGGACAGTATCCGCTGAAGTCTTGCTCAGGAATGCAGACGTCTCTTTGGATTGGAGGTAGGATGAGATCTTGCACATGGCGGCTGATCCTGTGCAGCCACTCCGACTTGCTTGCTCCATTTACCGGAACCGGCAAACGAGACTTACTCTATCTCCAGCATGTAATTAAGATTCCATGGTCTACTCTCGTATGTCTGCCGTTTGTCCAGTTCTCATCGCTTGAACGGGCTTGCGTCCGGATGCCAATGCTTGCGTACTGCGTGTTCGATTGCTGGTTGGCGACCCCCAGAACAGACCGACGGTACAAGCACATAAGATCCCCGCCTGAAGCTTCGCCAAGCTCCCGACATACGGAGTTGAGGGAATCAGTTCACGTGAATCTGGCAACCAAGTATTGGCCTCATCTTAATCGGGCTATAGTAGTGTATCCTTACGGGCCGGCAAGGCCGTCCTCCATGCCCTCGCCATTTCCAGCCATTTGCCCAGACTTGGCTTGTGTCGTCCACTACAAGTGAACAGGCTGTTTCACCAAGCCTGCCGTAAAGTCGGGCATGTGATCGGTCTTTTTCGACCAAGGCAGGCGATAGCAGCGAAACTGCTCCACGCATAGTGCATAGGCTCGAAGTTGTGTTAGAGCCGCTGTGCCTTCGGCAAGAAGACTTGGTTTAGCGCGACCTCACACGACGGCTTGGAGCGCACCCGAAAAGAAGCTCTCGGTGTCTGAAACGAGATGCAGCAAGGCGCCGAATCGAATTTGTTGGGTTGAGGTTTCCCTGCCCCCCTCATTCGACCCCTCATGTTCCGACACTCGAATCGTGTAGGGCGTCGCTTGGAATTGCCAGATCAAGACATTGTTGTACTACTAGTCAGGCCAAATTGTAACCGCGGTTACCCTACTGGTACGGCAAAGAGACCACAAGCTCCGTCTACGAAGCCCAGTCATGCCAAGCTCAGGTCCCATCTGCTTCACGGAATTTCAAGGTGCTGCCGCGCCGCTCTTAAGATGCCACCTGCAGCAAGTGATGCAAGACAGATCAAGACAGTTCTGATACATGCAGCACCTAAGCCACATGTCGTGGCATGTCGTGGCGGACCGAGCAGTTCGTTGCAATTGGGTGCCCCATGCCCATGCAAGTCAACCAAGACGGCATAGCTTGCGAGTGCGGAGCTAACCCGCATCGAGAAAGAGCAGGGTGGGCTCGCTTCGAACCTTGTCCAGCCTGGGCCTCCCATGCTTGCCCCAACAGGCAAATCTCCCCGCGGAGTAGGCTCGTGTTCTTCGATGGGGTGTATCTCGTGAGAGAGAGAGTGCGTGAGAGAGAGAGAGAGAGAGAGAGAGAGAGAGAGAGAGAGAGTCTCGGGAATGGGGGACCCGCCCCCCTGTGCCCCCCCGGGGCTTGAGCCACACGCCGACGCCGTTTTTCAGACAAGATGCCCCCTCGCCCCTCCCTTTCAAGTTCGCACGCCTCCAGGCCATGAACAGACCATCACTTCAAAGTTGCTTCAGCTCAGTTAACAAGTTGTGGAAAACAGGAGGGCCTTTGTCTGAACGAATTAGATGCTGCAGTTTTGTCGCGGTGGAAGCCGCCGGGGCGAGCACCCCGAATTAGCTTTGACCTGGCCTTGGAGCAGTGTCGTGCACGGGCGCGCTCTCAACCTCACATGCTTGAACCCACAGCTACCACTGGGGGGGACGGCGGACTGGGGGAGGGAGCTTGCGTAGCCGGCCCACTGCCGGGGCAACCAACGACTCCACACACAAAGGCGGCCCTGGGGGGCTGCCCCAGGCTGTTTTGAAACAGGTGCGGGACTAATTAAACCCGCACACCCGGGGCTAAAAACCTTGGCTGGGGCGGCTTGGGAAGCAGACGAACTGGAAGCCCTGGCAGAGTACGCCGAGCCGTGCAACCGTCGCAGAGTGACTTCAAGCCCAACTGACCGCCCGACGCCGGTGAGTTCGCCAGAGCCCGACACAAGACGGGGCGCGCCAGAGACCGCCAATACTGTGATGTACCGCATGCTTTTGTGTTAGTGTCTTGTTTTTCGAACCGAAGGCGGTTGTTGCGTGCCACATAATGGACCTCGCCCGCACTGTGATACTGCATGGGACCCCTCAGGCCACCTGCGTTTGTTTGTCTGTTATCGGGGCGACAGGTCACCTAGAACCCGTACAGAGGCTCGCTAGTGGGGACCCTGAACTCCTAAGGCTCCAAATCGGTACTCAACTGAAATGGGCACACGAACCCCACAGCGAGCCAAGCTGGCTGAGCGAGTAGGACCCGTCGCTGTGCAACCCCGAATGACAAGTGCTACCAGGTATAGGGGCGTCGAACTGCAGTTGCTAGGCTTGCTGAACATCGTACCTGTTGCTGAAACCACCGAATCGGGGGAGCGACTACCGGAGCAGTTACATGAGCACCCACAACCTGGCATATGCACAGTACTCCACAGGCATATGAGTAGTACTCTACTCTGTCGTGTACTGAAGATGTGGTGCCCGTAACTCTAGCCTTGTCAAACCTCGTCTGACTTGTCGAGCACGAGTGACAAAAAACTCTAGCCTACCGCATGAAATACCATGCACACCGCCAACATCAGGCGGCCCCCAAGGGCGGGGGCTCGCCTCCCTAGCCTGGCGAAAGAAAGAGAGAGAGAGAGAGAGAGCTCAGCAGCTGCCCTCACCGTAGATCCCGCCTAGAAGGACTAACGTGAGGTAACGTTGGTAGCCACAGGGGCCCGGCGATGAGGCCGGGAATCGCGGGGTGTAGTGTTCTAGGCGGGGTATCTACAGGAAAACGAGGAGCACACTGCGTAGTTCACTGCCATAATCAGGAAATGCCCCAATGCCAGCCACTCCATGTCAAACAGACCCGTTACATACTGCTTCAAAGCATGCTTCTCTGCCATCACGGGAAAAGCGCCTGAAAATGATGGAGATTCAGGCTCGGTGTCAAAAACAATGAAAGGCCAAGAAGATCACAAAGAAAACCAAAAAAAGCTAATAATTTCCTGCACTGATGTATTGATTCTGAGTGGCCTTGCAGCTTGAGGTTGAAGGGTTCGAGTCAAGGGTCCAGGGTTTGGGGCGGACCGTGGGTTTGGAATTTAGGGCTTAGGGTTTAGGATTTTTAGGGGGTTTTAGGGGGCTTAGGGCTTCATCACTGTATGGTGGGTTGAGCTCAGATTTGCAGGACTGGGTTGCAGCGGGGTTGCAGGCACGGGCAACCAGGTATTTTAAGTTGTATGTTGGTGTGATTTTCGGTTGATTTTTATGGACTGGGGGTGGCCAGGGAATTCCAGCGGAAGTCCACACGGGAATTCCCAAAGAAGGCTAAGAAAAGGTAAAAACAACTAAAACAGCTAAAATTGTCACAGTTTTCGGGAGCATCTTGTGACCCTGGTGGAAACAAGGCGAGCAACTGCAAGAGCCAAATTCGAACCACATTCAGTACAGGATTTTAGTGGGAAATATTTAGCTCATTTTAGCTCCTTTAATGGGCCCCCGACATTGAAGAGGCACGTCTCAAAGCAGTACGGAATGGGAACTTAAGACCATAGCACAAGGGGTGAGCTGGGCGGGCCTAAGGCCTGAGGGTCGTACGCGACCCCTACGACCTGCAGAAAGCAAGAGAGAGAGAGACAGAGAGAGAGAGTACCTGTAAGTCACCGTCTACCCTGACAAAACAGGACTTTCTCTCCATAAACTTTTTAACGGTGCCGGTACGTCCCTGCCAACCCGTAGGGAACCGGATCTTTCCAACAGCACGGAGAAGATGCTCCAACCCGAGCACCTGTGTTTCACTCCTTCGGGGGAACTTGCGGTTGTTGTGTTTGAGGCCTACAGGTTGTTGCTTAAGGTACAGAAAGGCAAGCCGATCCCTGAACTTGCTTTTTACGAAAGCCGAGCCAGCCCTGCAGAACCTGTCTTACGTGTTGGATGGTGTCTCGAGAGTGACGTTTTGCATCGTGGGCAGGTACCGGAACTCGGCAGCTTCAGGCAGTGCAGGGCAGGCGATGTCGGGGGCGAAAAACCGTCCCGTCACCGGCAACATGTGAGCACTCGGGGCGATGATAGCACTTTCGATCATCGGAGATAAGTCTTGTGTTCTTCAGGTATTCTTACACGCCACAGTCGAGCTGTTCACACGTGTGCTCAGCTCTAGCCTTTCGCATGTAATACCATGCGCACCGCCAACAATAGGCAGCCCCATGGCGGGGGGCTCGCCCCTCAAGCCTGGCGAAAAAAAGAGAGAGAGACCGTAGCCATTTGGGCCAGGTCGTTCCCGGCCGGCCCTTCGAGTCTGCAGAGGGTGATCTCTGCGGGCTTGGAGGGTGGACGTGTTGGGGGCGGGGGGTGGCTTGAGGCCACACGCCGCAACATGTCGGGCTCACGAGTGCCCCAGGGTTCGCGAACACCTCTCCTGAAACCGGCCCTCTTTGGAGGTGGCCCGGTAGGAGGGAGGGGCAACATACTATGTGACAGCGGACCTCCTAGTGAAGATGCACCGCCAGGGGGAGATCCACATCGCTCTAAAAGAGAACAACGAGATCTCGCTGAACAACCACCCCTTCCTCGAAGGCGACCCCACCAAGACGCCACCGAAGACCAGACTGGGCGGAGAACACCGTGGCCGGCAAGAACGTGATAGTGGCAGGGACACCACGAATGCAAAGGACACCTACGGCTGACGACGACTCAAAACCAGGGGACGACGACGACGCTGCTGAAGCAGCAACCCGCAAAAACCAGCGAAGGTGCCAGTCTAAGAAGCCTGAGCTGCCTTTGCAAACACCGGGAATCCCGGATCCGTGAACCATCCTTCTGCAGCTCACGCGTCTTTCTGAAGCCACCTAACCTGCTTTCTAATTTAACTTGCGCTGAGGGGCACCTGCTCGACCTTCTTCACACCACAGAATGGAGTGCCAGTGACATGCATAAGACCTGCATGGCCGATAATTCAGGCACGTTGTTCCCCTCTTGCGCACACCCTTTTGTTCGGGGGCACCCTTCCTTTTGCTTTACAGCCGTGACTCAACCTTCAACCTGTTGTTCGTACTTGGGAAGGGAACCCAGCCACACTCCCCCAGAAGAACGGGGCACCACCCGCGCGGGACGGGAGGACTGCTCCCGCCCCAAGCCCGGAGCAAAGCAAAGAGAGAGCGGAAGAATAAAGCACCAGTGGGGGGTGTAGAAAGTTGTTGCCGAAGCCAGTCCCGCGTAGCTGCCAAGTTGGGGGAGACCACGGATGACTCGAGTGACACCTGCTTTGGTTTTGCAGGTCATGGTTTGGCAAGGTTGGTTGGGGACAGGGTTCACAGGGTCACTCGAGGGAACGTGTCAGTCAACCCACCCCGAAAGGGGCCGCGAAGACGAACCGACGCGCACCCAGGGGGGTAGGCCTCCGGGCCAGGGGGCATGCTCGCATGTGCCCAAACCCCTTCAAAGAATAAAGCACCTTGCGCATTCCACCTGTTACAAAAACTTCCGGGGGAAACCTCCCAACACAAATCCCAATGCCTCCTTCCACCAACAAGGCAGGAAGGGGGGGGTCTTGGCCCGGGTCTGCTCGCAGACTCTTCCCCAGCAGCGAGCGAGCGAGCGAGAGATGCTCCATCAACGGTTCGAGGCACTTGTATTAAGGGACACATGTAAAATTGGCCTTGGTTCGTCACTAAGGACAATAGCATGCCTTGCATAAATTGACTCCCTCCCAAAGCCCGCTTTGCAGAAAAGTCAAAGAGAAGATTCTACTTAGTTGCTTGGTTACTTGGCTAATAATTGCTTTGTCAGTCAGTTAGTTATCACGTGGTCCGTTGCGTTGTACCAGGTGCTGGCACAATTGCCGGAGACTTATGGTCGACAGAAAGAGCTATCATCCTGGCAAGAATCCTGCAGAGTCAACCACTGGCTGCCGTCGGCCGTAGATCCACATGCAAGCAGTCTTGTGGCTGTGGGTGAGGGAGGCTTTGGGTTTTGTATGATTCATCCCCAGCTCCGCTCCAACAGTATCAGATGAAAGAGCAGACCAAGGAAAGTAAGCCTATTGTCGGCGTTGATTTCCCCAAGAGTGCTCTCTGCTTCACATGAACCAAACCTATCACCTATGGACAAGACAAGTGGTTCGTGAAGCCTGTCAGTGCGAGGTTCAAGAAGAGCGGTCTTTGGCGATCCATGTGGGTGCACAATCCTTCCTGAACCTTAAACCATGGTATGCATCAGGTCTGGTATTCAATTATCCTTGAAGTCCTGCTGCATGAGAGCAGTTCCCATGTGTCGCAGCTGCAAAAGCGTAGGCGCGATATCCCCGGTCCAACACTTGCACAAAGGCCATGTGGGCACTGCTTTCATTGGGCCGCTTCCCCAGTTGTTTGTGACTGAAATCTGTATGAACACTGGGGCATGTTTGCGAGATTCGTGCTTGACTAGTCCAGCAAGGACAAAGCAGGTCTGAATTGAAGTTGACCAAGGCGTGCATCGATGCATGGCTCTCGCGAAGCAGGCAATGTCCGGGCTTTAAGCTTCAGGGCTTGCGGAATCTAGGCTTTGACATTGGCAGCCCAGTGCGGCTATGTCCAGCGAGTTGTGAGCATTGGCGGTAGCAGATGCCTCCTGCATGGCAGTTCCTGCCCGATGCGCTGTTCGGTGAGTGCTGCAGATATGTCAGAGCCAGCTTCAGATACTGGAGTGTGACTCCAGCAGAACTCGGATCTCGGTCCCAGCCGGTTGCATGATGCACGCAAAGGACGGCATCACCGCCATGTGCAAAAATCGGCGCAGCGACTGTGATCATAATCATGGCAGAGGCCGTCACTCAAGTCTTGCATTTCTTGAATGGTATATGAGCCAGCATGGGCCAAGGTATCAACCATATCTTGAAAGTAGGTCCTTCGAGCCCTACCTTGCACCTTTTTTGCCCAAAGCCGCCGCGAATGGATGAAACGATCCCAGCCGCGAGAAATAGGAAGAACTCCATGATGGCCAATATTTATATTGCTTGCATGCATCAGGGTGATCGTGCGAACCAAGACAAAGGGCGCGGAGACACCACGAAAAGCACATGGACGACTTGACTGCTTGCTGGGTGTAGTCTCTGTTTCCCTTATGTTCACCTGTCCTGCCGTCGACGGCGACATTCCGCAAGAACCGATGCTGCAAAAGGCACAGTCTCAGTCGAGCCTCGGGACATATTACGGGAAGACTTGGAGCTTTCGTGAAGGGTCTTGCTTGGATGCGGTCTGAATTGAGGAAGCCTCTTTGAACACTGTTCCCCAAAACCTGAAGAGTTCGATCTTGTCATGTCCGAATCAAACAGCGGCATGGCGTTCAAAGCTTCAAGCTTCGAGTAGCCAACCTCCAACGCCACATGGCATCGAATCTTTATCAGAGAAGCCTGACGCACCTTCCAGAATCCTTGCATGCCATGCGATTTACACGAAGGAATCGGGCTACGGACGAAGAGATCCCGGACAAGACCTACGCAGATGTGACACAGCTTAACTGGCAGTCGGGCATGGGATGCAAGCCATATTGTCGTCTGGCCTCTGGGTTCTAGATGTCACCGAACACTTACCTGTTTCTGCCACTGCATGGCTGTTCTGAGGCTCGTGAAGACCTGCACCAGGGTTTTCAAAGACCTAGGTCCTCAGCCAGCACTTGCAGTCACTGCAAGTGACCTTGCTCCAACATCATGCTGCTGATTTGGGCAGGCTGCGTCGCTTGGCTGGATGTGGTACATGTGGCACATGTCACAGTGCCAACCATGCAAGAGAATATGATTGAATATGATGTTCGGGATGCCGATATATCCACAAAGCCGGCGTTCCATGCAAGTTCATAAGCCACTCCCGAATATTGCCATCTCAACCCTCCCCCTTCCAGGAGAAGTTGAACCCAGCTGCATGTTTCCAGCCAGTGGTTTTGGAAGGTCTCTTGTGATCGGAAAGAGGTGTTGGCTTTGGGATGTCGTTTATCTCCGAATAGGTGTTGTTGTTGCTGAGCCAGCTGTATAGACTTGGTCCTCTTTGCTCCGCTCATCACCGCTGCAGAACCAAGCACGTGCGGAGCAAAACAGTATGCGCAACAAGAAAGGCTCTTTCCCGCCCCAAGACCCCGACACAGAAGTGAAAGCGGGCGGGCGAAACAAAGACAAGAATGTGCGTTCCTGAAATGCATCTCTGAGAGGCCTCGACCAGCACGAAAGTGGGTGAGGGGCACGAATGAAGCCAGAAAAGGCGCCCTCCCAAAGAATGCCCCATAATGCCCCCATCCAATCTTCCGCCTACAAAATGGAGATCCCGACACGAAAATGAGAACTGCAAGTGGGCGAGGTCGTTAACGTGTCGAGAAGCTTTGGGCCCGAGAATCGATTTTGACCAGCTGTCAGGACAATGATTCGTGAAGTACTCATTGAGCTTACACAAGTTGCTGAGTAATGCATGACACCAGTGTTCATACACTGCTTAAGCGTTCGTCGAGTCTTAGATACTGACAAGACGCAATGGCCTCGAGTAACAAGACTACAAAGTGCGCATGAAAAAGAACGAATCATCGTCTGAGGATGGGAGGCTCTGTTGCAGATATGCAGTTTCAAACATAAAAGCCCCGAGTGTTGCGATTATCATGATTCAGCCAGCATGCTTTTCGATGGTTTAAGAACATGCTTACGCTTTATTTTCCGCGAATGGCAACATTCAGAGATCTTGCTTTCATGTTCGTATAAGCACTATGTGATAGTTCTTCTGTCTACTGTTAAACTCACGAGCCGATAGTCTCTAATCAGAAAAGCTGAAGGAGCATTGAACATGCAATTGCTTGTTGATTAAGTACTCGACGAATAGTTAACTCATATTCGCCTTGTACTAGTTGATAGCTGGCCACTAGCTACTGAAAGTTAAAGACATATGTAAGTTTGTCATCTGTCCTAATATCGGCACAGGACGTATTTGCGATAAAATGAAACGTCGTTTACATTGCAGGTACTATTTATAGTTGAAATGTACGACATGCCTGGCTTGTTCTTTAGAGTTCGTGACTGCCTACTATACTATTTGCTAGTATTTGCTGCCCCGTTAGCTTAGCATTTTGATTGTTATTCGCGTAGCAACCAATTACGCAGCTCATGCTTATTAATCTCTGTACTGATTGACTCTGAAGGATTTGAAGGTCTGCTTTGTATTGCTTTGTTAATACTTTCAGTTTGGTTTGTGGTGAGTTATCCAGCACGTGTTTTTTGTCGACACGATGCTTGCATTTCCATGAGATCATCTTGTAGATGCTACACTCAGCTTCAGTATGTGCGCAGCCGTCCACTGGGCGCGGCGCCAAGCAGCTTGAGCAGTACCACTGCCCGAACTCACATCGCCCAAACCCCCCCAACTCAAAGACCGCGCAATCTTTGTAAGCCAGGTTCCCTGGGATGCATGAACTTCTTGAGCAGGCTTGAGGAGAACCAAGCTTGAACATCACATTGGCATGTTGCCGGCAAGCGGGAAAGCTCGAGTAAGTCATGGCAACGAGCCGGAACGAAGTGCGTATCAGGCTCTTGAACATTATCGACGGAACTGCTCAGGTGACCAGAACGACAAGTTGAAGCGTCAGCTAACATCTGCGCAGACACGGCTGCGGGATGTGACGGGCGCCGCTTGCGCTATCCCAGAAGTCTTTGATGTGCCAAGCTTCTGGTAGCTCCGAGTTGTGGCTTGCAGATAGAGGGACTCAAACGAAGAAGGCAGCCTTTCTTTCAAAGCAGATCCACTTCAAGATGAAGGCTTTCTGTCATCCCTCGGCCTTAGTTGAAGCAGGGCCTCGGCCACAGAAAATGGAAGTGATGCTGAAGTTCCTTCAGCTATTGGTGCTGGCATGACCCTATGACCTATCCAGCTGCGGCTTGCCATAGCTCGCACAATTTCACTTCTCGTCCTTTCCTCGAGGTCGACGAAGTTCCACAACCTACAATGATTTCGTCGGTGCCTGCGTTGCAAGGCAGCTTGTGCTGAGTGAATGAGTCTGAGCAGTGTAATTTGTAGCACACTGGATGCAAGCTCCGTCGGTCTGTGCTGAAGTTGAAAAAGGCCAATGCTGTGTAGGTTGAGCATCTAAACGCGACTGGACTCCGGACACGCTCCCCTTCTCTGGAACCTAACAGTCAACACTGCCCCATTTACACAGCACATGTGTTGCGCGAGGCCATCCTGTGTTGGAGCGGGAGGAGAGCGCCGCGTCGGGCCAAGTTTCGAAGCTGGTGTCCAGCAGTTCGCTGCCCGTGGATATCACGACTAGTGACTTGAAGCACTGCGAGCGCTGGGAAACTCTGACCACAAAGCTGCAACTTGGATGCAACCTCGGTCGTGGCTGCAAGTAGCGGGCCTTCTTCAGGTCCAAGCAGAATGCTATGTGAGCAAAGCGCAAGGCTGTCAACACGAAGCCTGCCGTTTCAGGGCATCCTTGTAGGTGTGGTTCATGTCTTCTGAGTTTCGGATAGACGGGAGACTTCAGAAGACCTTACCCGACCGCCCGCCATCGTAACCCTCGTGAAGTATCCAGCTGCATTTTGGTGCAGTTGCGCCATACCAAGGATTGAGTCTGCCGGCTGCATGACTGCATTCGATGCCCCGACACCCAAGCCGAGGACGCGGGAAACCGGTAGGCTCTTGGTGTGTCGCGATGGCCGCGGCCACAACAAACGCGGATGGGGAGGTTTTGTAAGTTTTGTAAAGGAGACATGTTCATGAGCGACCGTGGTTCAGCACTTGTTTGCTTTGCTGTCCTGTGAGTCGGGGTGTGTGGTGTTTCTGTTTTCCTGGTTGCTCAAAGCCGGCAGTGATACAGGTGCCACTTCATAGTGTTGTTTTTCTATGGGTACAACACAATACTTTGAACTTTGCATCTCTACATGTCGCCTTTCAGGAACGCTTTGGCTGGCCTTCCATGCCTTCCTGACCTCGATCTCTGCACCAAAACTCGCCAAACACGCAACAACAGAATGTTTTCCTGTCCTAATCCTATTGAAGCCAAGCCAACAGGTTGTGTCAGATTTTGCCGAGCAAAGGCACAGGCGACCGAGGAACCGCAGAATTATAGGGAGCGATGCGATATCAACTCTGGAGGAGTACGGCGGGGATAATGTGCGAGCTGAAGATGCGACCGTCCTGGAGCCTTGACCGCCTGCTTTGCTTCAGTGGATGTCGGGGCTTCTGGCTTGCTGACGCTGGCAAGGGGAGTCCTGTTTGGGAAGCACTCGAAGTTCTTAGTCCTGATGCTTGCCACGTGAACATTCGCGTCAACCTCAGGAGCCACTCCTTGGTGCAGACAAAGGCAACCTACCAGAGGCCGGCATGGGTTGATCGGGAGGCGCTGAGCCACTCAAATCTCCAGGATGCTTGAAGCATTCAGCAACATGCCGACATGTCCCATCAACAAGAGCACAACATTCGCAGGCGTACGCCCACATATGCACATGTCGAAAGCTTCGGCATGTTGACCGACTTTGGGAAGGTCAAGATCCCACATCGCGGCACTCAGGGAGATGTCGTCGACACTGAAGATCAATGCTTCTCGCTCAAAACGCCGAAGTTGAGCGCTTCATCTGGAGTTTCGGGATGACAACGGGATGGGACAGGGTTGATGCATCAAGCCGGGCCTACACCTTGTTTGTCATTTCAGCCCTCATCTCAAATTCGCCGATGGGGTCGACGCCAGCAAAAAGTCGTTCCTCAATCGCCCAAGGATGCATTCACCGACAGCTCCTTCCTCCAGCGCTTTGTGGTGGGACCTCACAGCAACTGTTCCAGACAGTTGGAGGGGTAGGACAGATGGGATTTTATGCGGTTGGTCATTTAAAAGCTAGACAGCAAGCTAGACAGCCAAATGTGCGTGTAGGTGCCTGGCGGAGAGGCATCGGCGGCATACAACTCACCTGAAGCCAAAAACTGGCAGCAAAGCTACAGTCCATGCCCGCATTCCTTCAAAACGTCTGTAGCCAAGGCAGACATCAGCTCGTGTGGGCGATTATAGCCAGCGTGTCTTCAGGCTGAATTGAGCTTCCGGTGGCACATCGCTTGTTCAATTGCCCGGTTTGTTTATCCCCGAGGGAGTCGATCCTTCGTGAGTCTGCGAATTAGAAGCATGAGACAAACCTTGAAGCCGCTTCCACAGCAGATTTTACTTGCATAGTGGTCATCCGTTCAGCTGGCAAGCATGCTTGATCTCTGAGGTTCATCATCTGGGATTTGATCACCATTCCCTTGGAGATGTTCAACGTTGCAGAGTTGCTAGGCTGTGATTAGACTGCGAGTAGCAAGCCTCCTCTCTGTAGTGTTGATGTAGTCAGGATCTGCCTGTGGCAGAGCCAGGGACCCAATTCAGAATCCGCTGCACCACACCCTGAGCGCAAGTATCTCAAGGTTCATCCGCGTGCTGGATATTGTGGGCGTGGTCTCGCTGTCTTTCTGGACCCTTGACTCATGATCAGTCACCTTCTTCTCCTAGGCTGATTTGGGAGGCAACTCAACAGAGCCCGACACTGTAGGTGAGTTGCTCGCCCCATCGGCGACATGGTCAGTATCACCCCATGATATCCCATGTCACTTCTCGTAACCGCATGCTCGTCCAACGCATAGGTTTGTTCAGCGACACAGCCCGAGCCCCAGGGTCAGAAAGGCCGAATCCTCTGCCGCAATGGGAGATGACGGTGATGTTCGTCTCACCACAGTCTCCAAGGATGGAGAGAAGCTGGGCAACCTAATCCCGGCTGGTTCCATGACCGCGGCCGAGGGAAAGAGTGCCATCCCCGGCAAGTGGAAGATTCCTGGTGTCCAGGCGCCTGTCGAATTGAAGGTTTCAGGATCCTCCGTGAAGTCCGTTCAGCAACCTTTCGGTAACCAGCCACTCCTCGGAGAGATTGAGGAAGGTGAGAAGATGCTGGGGCTGCACATCACATTGGGCGGATTTCCCATGAAGGCCTGGATGAAGAAGGAAGGTCAGCAAACGGTGTTGACATTCTCCAACGGCGGGCGATGGAGCAAGCTTTGAGATCTGTCAGCATCCAGCAGATGCCACTTCTTGAATGCGTCTCTGGCTGTGGAAAATGCATGAGGGGTGTGCGATTCGCAATAGCAAGCACGCGTAGCGTGTGCCTGTACAGTCCCACTGCCATTTGCAGGCAGCCAGGGCATCGCCGCATTGGCTGATGCTCAGAATATGAGGGCGTGGATTTCTTTATCTAGGTTCTTCAGATTTCAACAACCAGAGGAGAGGGAAGCCTTCTTAGTCAAGGCAACTTCATTTCCATTGGTGTTCTACATTACCCTGCAGCATCCGATGGCACTACGCAGTATCTTGAGACGAAAAAAAACAGCGTGCAGGATCGAGGGCAAGCAGTGTGTGCGTTTGTGTGGCCATGCACCTCATTGTGTGAACTGCTTCGCGCTGATGCGTGTGTGTGTGTGTGTGCGTAGCTTCCGGCCACGTTCTCTTCAGATACACCCCCTTAAGATGCCCGCCAACCTCACATCGACTCAAGTCTCTCATTCTCAGGGCGATGGACATTCCCCTGCATCTTGTCTTCGGGGTGCAGCTGCGGGGATCCCTCGAGATGCGACCGTCAAAGCTGTGGAGCCTTGGCTACGCAGAGACCGAAGAACATCCTCGAGCCAAAGCGTTGACGTTGGGTCAGAAGCCTCCTCGTTTGCAGTCGTACAAGGGATGCTCTACTCACTGGGGCTTGAGTCATGCGGCTTAAGTGTGTGCTCTCCCGCTTTGCGCCCGGAAACACCCTATGCGCAAACGTCAAGACGGTATTAGTGGGGCTGAGTACTTACAAAGCCAGTCGCATGGCAGTACCTCAACATGCAGACCCCAGGAGTATCTACGTGCGCTCCTGGCTGGCCATAGACATGTTGATAGCTGCTTGGCGGCAGCGGCACCTTGCATTGCTGCCATGCACCATTGGACCATGCCCAGTATTTAGGTAAGTTATGCAGACCTCGTCGTGTGGAGCTTGACTGTCCAGTGGGCCCATCCTCTGCCATCCTCTGCCCCTGCAACCTCCACGGGCTTCCGATGCGTTCCTCATCAGACTCGAACCAGAAATAGACCTGATTTTTTTACAGAGGTACTTCTTGACGTCGCGCTCATCCTTCTGGAACAGTTGTTTCTTGGCAAAAAAGTTAAGCAATGTTAAGCACTCTTCGGACCGACTCTCTAAAATTGGAGGTTTCATGAGCTTGCTGACAGCTGCGTACTTCGTGCATCACGGCTCTTCGTTCACAGGTTTGTCCCTGAAACGGCCTTCCATTGTGAATAGATCTGCAGTTGCACAGCAAGCTTTCTTAACCTTCCTTGCATCCCTGGAAACTTTCCATGGCTGCCACGAGCACACATAGTGGTTCGATGTGGTTCGCAGCAAAAAGGACAAGCTCTCCGCATCGCGGCCCGTCCCTTGCAGGTCGAGCGGCCACAGCAACGGTGCTTTCAGATCCGCCCGCTTTTTGCGATCCCTTCGGTTTCCTGGCAGAGCACAACATGTTGTTCCAAAGCAGCGTGCGACGCGTGACGGCACCCTATGCTCTTTCCTGCCCATGACGTCACAGGTTGCTTCGGCTGTTCCGGTTGGTACGAGTGGCCAAGCTTCAGCGGGAGCTTTCCTTGGTGGCAAGTCGTTTCTTATCAACTTATGCTTTCATGGCTCCTTGGCTGAATGTCTCGGGCTGGATAGACTTTCACCACTCACATAGAAAAGCAGTCGCACCCGTAGAGGGCGATCAAACCCCCAGTCGTAGTATGCCACTGACTGCATCGCATCTGTGAGGTCATGAAGATTGTTGGCGCGCTGCTGATGATGCTGGCAATTAACCACATCATCGGATGCTGCTGGTTTGGCATTGGAACTGGGAGCCTTGGTCCATACATGTGCATACGAACTCCCGAGGTGCATCTAAGAGTGATGTTTGGGAACATCTGTAGCGGGGCCCCGGAAGAATTTCGGTGTTCGGGATGGATTAAGTTTGGGCTGATGGCTTGCCATCTCAACCTGGAGACTTGGGGCATCTGACCCTCTCAGCAACCATGCGGTGGAGCTAGGCGATGCTTGCTAACCTCCCGACTGATTCCCATCTTCCCGATTTCCTATGCCTTTATAGCATAGACAAAAATCGGTCCTGCAGTGTGTAGATTACTTGCAAGTACATGGGCCCTTAACCCTTAGGGTTGGTATCACTCCGAATAGTTGTGAGAGTTGGTCCATCGAGACTCGAAGGCATCACGATCGGAGGGATTTGACACTCCATCCGTGCATCCTGAAGAAGAGGCCTCCGAAGAAAGGTCGTCAACCGAGAAATCTTCAACCCTACGGGGCTGTAGTCAACTATAGTCCCTTCAAGGAAAGACTTGACCCCGATTTCTCGAGGATGGCAGAGTGCGCCCGGATTAAGCGGAACGAAGGCGTCCCATTACGCTGTGAACTTCCCAGTAGTAAATGGCATGTACCCATCGAGTCCGTAGAGTCTGTATGAAGGTGCTGTAGTTGGTCTTAGACTTCCTTTAAGACTTTAAGGGACCTTCGCAATCGCACTGAGGACCAGCCTGTTCCCCTAAAGAAGGCATCAAGCTCCAAGTTTCCCAACAGCCCTTAATGCCGCGAACACGACCGGTGGCTTGCGCTCTCCTCCGCACCAGGCCTGAACATCTAAGGCTGGGGCTTGAGGGCCGATAAAAGATCAAAGTCTTTTTCTGGACCGCGGGTGTCCAACAAAAAACGAAAAAGATCGCACGGTCTAGAAAAAGACACTGGAAAAGACCAGCCGCAATGCTCTGGTCTTTCCAGGTCGGGGCGTAGTCTGCCAAAGAAGTTCTTGATTTCAAACCGCCGATCCGGGTAATAGCCATAAGTCCGAATACCCGATCGAGAAGTGTAGAGAGCTGCCACAGCTTCCTTTTTATGATTTGATTCCAGACCTCCAGGTCCCAAGTTTGTTGCTGTCATGCAAGAACGTTGAATAGGTGCCGAGAAGGGCACGCAAGAGGCCAAAGCGAAGCCCTCAGGACTGAAAGCGACAAAACTTGGATTTATCGTATCGGAATCGAAGATGCAGCCGGCTTGCACTTGGAGCGGGGTCAGGATTGAATGGAACAACTTCTCCAGCAGGTTGCTCAATCCGGCGGGGTCAAGTCTATGCCCAGGGCGGTGTGGAGCAGTTGAGCATGCACATGCATGCTCGGTTGGAGGGATGGCACTTCGTTGAAAGGGTTTTTGCGGAACAAACACGCAGCAGCCGTTGCTCGAGTGATCTTTTCAACAATCGCATTTTCACTGTCATGTCCAGGCAGATTTTGCGACATCCTACGTGAGCTCGATCCACTGGGTGCCTGGAGCCAGCTATACCGAAGGTTTTATGATAGTGGAGGAGCAAGGTCGATTCAGCTCAGTTCGCAACAGGTGAGACATAATGTGGTTGTTGGCTTAGCTGTGCTAATTTTCTGTTCTCACCTTTGCATTACATACTTGTGTGTTCCGGCATGTTTTGAGTTGAGGCTTTGACGCAGTTCACACCCTCGACGAACAATATCGCCCCTGAAAACGGCGTTGAAAGGCCGGTGGGTGTAGCTGCTCGTTTCACGTCTGTGGGGTGAGCAAACCATCAGAGTCCATCACGTGCTCATACATCATGATTCGATCTCGACACGCACAACGTGGCTTATCTTCGGCCTGAGCCTTGATCCCCCGATTCTGGATCGCGGTTTGTGAGAGTGTGAGTTGCGGACACGCAGAGAAGACATCAGAAGACTTTATGATCTCCTGACTTCCTTTGCTCGCCAGGTTTTTTGCCATCTGGGTGATCCTGCTCGCAATGGGTGTCTATTCATCCTTCATTGGATCCATCAGTTCAACGGTGAATTCTTTGCGAGCTGTCCGCGGCGAGAAGATCAAGCAGCACTCATGGCTGCAAGTACTTCCTGTTGTTCATATGATACTCAGCAAACATCATCATACCCAAATCGACATATAACAAGAGCTGGATGGGCGCAATGTACATGCAGAAAGGCCTGGACGACTAGAGTGAGTAGAGAAGTGGGAAGAAATGTCAAAAATAGAAGGACGGCATTCTGAGTAGGAGTAGGCGTGGTAGTAGTGGTAGTAGTAGTAGTTGTTGCTGTTAGTAGTACTTGGTACTACTGCTGCTACTACTACTACTACCACCAGTAGCAGCGCCACTACCACTGCCACTACCACTACCACTACCACTACCACTACTACTACTACTACTACTACTACTACTACTACTACTACTACTACTACTACTACTACTACTACTACCAATGCTACTACTGCTGCTACTACTACTACCGCTACTACGACTACTATTGTCATTAGGTCTACCACTACCGCTACCGTTGCCACTGCCACTACCACCACGACGACAACTGGCAGAAGAGATTAGTAGTACTAGCAATTCGAGTAGCAGGGGCAGTAGTAGTCGCCGTAGTAGTAGTTGTAGTAGTGGTACTGCTCATGCGCAAGATCCTGCATGACCTACAATACTACAACATCGCACAAATTTCATGTCGCTCTATCCACTTCCCCGCAATCCTTAATCGCAGCCCCACGCGGTCATGCAGGATTTGGGGCATTCGCACAGGCGTAGCAACTTGTCATATTTGTCAGTAGTAGTCCTTGTTCTAGTACTAGTAGGTAACGAGTAGCAACACCGACAATTCCGAAACGTTTTTCCCATGCTCCCGTATCCGGGTTTTCCTTCACAAGCAACACCGGGCACTCAGCATGTGTTGTCCTTCTTTACCCGGCTATAAAGGTGCCACTGCAGTGCCGGCTTGTACCGGCGACTGTGTTGACCCGCCACGTCTTTCACGTCTCTTCCGCAATTCCGAACTCAAGCGCAGAAATGTTCGACAGACGCAAGGCAAACATAACTTGCCGCTTAGAGGCTTTGAGTTTCGAGGAGTTGCTTTTCCAGCTCCCAACCTACAGCTTTAGATGTTAAGTGCACAGGCAATCCAGGCTGCTGCAGTTCTTCATCGAGAGAAATCTTTCCTTGGATCTGTACGGCAGCATCCAGGACCCGAGCCAGCAGACGACAGCATGTTGGGCAATCACTCGGTCTTTGGCTGGATGTCGGTCCAGCTCAGTAAGGTAGGACTTAGCAGAATTGGCATTGCGTGTTCGTGCAGGTGTGCAGGTGCAGCGATGGGTGTGCTGATAGCTTGCCAACATTTCGTCATGAATGACAGCAGCAAGCAATGTCAGCCGGCATTCTTCTGCTCATGACAGTCATAAGGCACCCCAGGGAGGTTCCGTCGGATTGTGGCAAAGTTGAAATCCCGAATTCGTGCAATTTACAGGAGACCCTCCGCCGCGAAGGCACAGTTGAAGCAACTTGGACATCAGTTTGTTCAAGCACAATTGGGCCAGCTCAAGTCCGGTTGCCTTCAAGACGGCACTCAGCTTCATAGGAATCATGTGTTCCGGGAATGCCGTGCTGTCATGTGCCTTTGCAGCTTGTCTCTTGGACTCTGCTGCATGACTGTTCTGCTTTGCAGACGCTTCTGATATGCTGATGACTTATGTGCAAAGCACCAAGAACGCCAAGGTGCGACTCAAGGAGGCTGAAGTGAATTTGAACCTCGCTTGCGTTACTGCAATGCACATAGGCAGGATGTGCGCCACACATGCCATCTGAAACAGCTCGAAAAGGAGTCTGCCTGGTTTTGCGTTGGGCCTTATTGTGAATCCAGAAGCCCTCATCCCAGGATCAGTGGCCTGCCAGAGCGAAACTCGCCTGTACTATAAAGGGTACTAGATCATCTAGTCTAGATGGTACTAGTGCTCCCTGGGATCCCCAGTGTCGTCGGCCCGCGGCAGTTCCGAGGCAGTGTTTGTCTAAAGAAATGACTACGCGTGACTGAGGGTTTTGCATGGAAAGGCTTGCCTGCTGCTTGAGGTTTCAAGATGTGGTACCCCATCCTACCCCTGGTTCCTCCAGCTTTGCAGCAATGTGTCGCATGTTCGAGGCTTTAGTTTTCTCCTCCTGCCTTCACTACCTGCTTTCTGCTGAGGTTTCAAGCAACAACTACATGAGGAGCTGCTTGTTTTAGTTGCCGAATCGTCGAATTTGACATAACTGGACTTATTTGTCACACTCAACATGTGGCTTCTGCGAGGAGCTCTACATGGCAGCCGTTCAGCGCTTACCTTTCTGGCCATCCTGGACCGAATGCCTGGATCCCAGATCGTCGTCAAACGCAAACCAACTAAACTCAGCAGACCAAGCTAAGAGCCGACAGTTCGGTTTTCGCAGCTTGGCACCGTTGGCAGGACGGCAGCGATTGCTTAGGCTGAAGCACCTTGTACAGAGTACAGAATGAAATGTGCTGACCTGTAAGCCTGCAACTTAAACCCTCACCCTTTCAGAAAGACTGACAGAGAGCTTGGAGGGCGAAAGAGAGAGAGAGAGAGAGAGAGAGAGAGAGCCGAGCAGACAACCCAGATCCAGAGAAGGAGCGGGGGAGAAAAGGCGTACCAACAGAGCCACCAAAAGAGCACTGAAGATCCAGCTTCAAAGACTGGGGATATGGGGGCACTGGAATGGGAGCCCACTACACCCCTCACCATGTGGCTCCACCCCTGCGAGCCACCCACCCGGATTGGGCAGAACTGCTCAACCGGCACCTCCTGTCCATCCGCCCAAACCCGGCTACATCCACAGCCACTACACCTGCATCTGGAGCAAGCCAGGCACAACACGCTCACAGCACGACACCGTCAGCTGCGGCACAAGCAAGCGGAGCGGCCCCAGCGAAACCAGCTACTGGCAAACCGACCACCCCGGTCACACAAGGCACCCACAACAAACCACCACCACCGGTCAAGCAGCCACCGTCCAGACTCAAACCACCGCCTCCGGTCCCTGCAGCAGGCGACGACCCACCACCCTGGACCCAGGCAGCAGCGCAAGCCAAACCTCCCAACACACCACAAGCAGCAAGCAGCTCCACAGATCCACATTCACACGCGGGCGCGGGCAGTTCCACCGACCCACCACGGCAGACACTGCCGAACAACTCCAACACGCCAGCTAGCAGCTCCACAGACCCGGCGCCAGACCGGAGAGAGCCACCGCTCTCACCAACCACCATGGCCGCAGCACAAGCACGGGCGAGTCAGACCCTACGTGGTCCCAACACTCCGTCCATCAACCGACCCACCATCCCCACCAACAAATGGGCAAGAGGGCGCATCGTAGCGCCTAGGGCCTATGACCCCTCCGAATGGTGGCTAGTCGAAGTGGAGAAGAACCCCCGCCGGCGCAAAAAAGAACGAGCGGACCCGAGTCCCCTTCGCACCATTGCGCCGGGAATAAGGGCAGATCTTCACCTTCTGTCGGAACCGTGCTCTCCATCACGATGCCGAACCCGCACACCGTGGTGGCGGCACGGCCTCCGAAGCAGTACGAGTTCAACGCAGCCCTGCTATGCGAGGGAGACACACTCACCTTCACATGGCAAGATGACTGGGTGCTGGACGTTCACCGCCACGAGGATGCGGACTGCACCGAGGCCCCACAACACACAGCAGCAGACGCGCAACAGCCACAGCTAGCGGAGCAGGCACCAGCTGGCAGTCAGGCCCCACTGCAAAGCACAAGCAACCAGCAGGCGGAGCGACCAGCAGATGCAACTCCACACACACAGCACTCACCAGAGGCCGAAGCAGCAACCAGCAGCACTCAACCCATTGCAGCTCAACCGACGGTCTCCGGGGCAGCAACCAGCCAACCGCACACCGCAACTGCGAGCACCGCAGGATCCCTGGATCCCTCTTCGATGGATGCAACCTTCGCCGCGAAGCCAATCCAGCACCCCCTCCGCCGGAACAACCACAGCAACCACAACCACTGCTCACACAGCTGCAGGACAGCAGACCTCTAGGCAACCGCTTACAACCACCCTCGGAGGAAACAACACCACCGCCAGAGCCAGACCACACAGCTCTCATGCAGAGAGCAACCCCAGCTCGGGGCAGTTCAGACCACCGCCACCAAACTACCTGGAGAGGGCCATAGACAAGCTCAGAAGCCTTTTGTTTGAGACTGCCAGAGCAGAGCTGCATGAAGTCACATGCCATGTTGTCATACTCCTCAACATGCTGACAGACCACAGAGAACAACAACTAAGAACTAATATGGCTTGTTTGTTTGTGTGAACCCTATGCTCCGCCGGTGGGGAGCCCGACACTTGCTGCACGTAACACCGTGCGTGCCACCAACAGAACGGGCAGCTCCCGCGGGGGCTCGCCCTCAAGCCTGGGGAAAGAAAGAAAGCCGAGTGCAATTCTAGTGGTTTCCGCGGAGGGGCCGGTGTCTGAGACTGAATTCGTCCGTTGTGTCTTTCAGCCCGACATCCCACTGCGTGGTCATGTATGGGGTGGGCATGGGCTTGTTCTCCCTTGGAGGCGTGGAAGAAGCCGAGTGCAATGACACCCAGTGGTCGTCCACTCCATAGAACAGGGGTGAACTCGCATTGGGATCGGCATTCGCAGTGGCGTCCTCGCCAACCTGCCGCACCTTCTTAGGAGCACGACAGTCACGGATGGGCTTCGCCTGAGGGTCACGCAGACGATCCTGAGCCAAACAGAAAGAAAGGAAGAATGATACGGGGAGAGAGGAGTGTACCAAGCAAGCAAGCGAATGGGCCGTCTGAGAACAGGAGACTGCTATGGTGGATTTCACGACATTCCATGCATCACGGACCTCAATCCAGCTTCGTTGCAGCCTTTAGGTCGGACCGTGGACAGTTTCTTCTTCAACAGCTTGTGCCATCAAGCCGTCGGCGCAGCTGAGCACAAAAAGTAGTTTTTTCTGCGCGACGCTTTCGACGGTCCCGAAGATCAAGGAGACTTGAGAAGCTAAGGAACATGTGCTTATGCCTGGTGAGGATGCTTTCATGCCAGGCATGCTCCGTTGGGCATGTTGAGGGGCCAAGTCAGTGTTCGGTCATCCTGAATGATGGGCGGAGCTTCTGGAGGCATGTGCGGCGATGTTGCCTTGGTGTTGGAGGTTAGGTTGAGTCCAGCTTTCTGCGCAGGGTCACACCCTGACTCCTCTTTCCTCGGGCAATGACTCCTCACATCTTCGTGTGATTCTAGACTGAGATGACCACTGCTTGATGACGATCTGCCAACAGCCTGAAGTAATCATGCAAAGCGAGAGCAGGATGGAAAGCACCGAAAAAAACAGCGCTTTGACCACATGTTGCATCAACGCTGGCTTCGGCCGATCGCTTGTGAGACTTGTGAGCCGGCAGCTCGTTTTTGACCGGAAGTCATGCAGTTTGGCATTCAACAACTCAGGGACCTTCTGCGAGCAAGCCTACATTGTGGAGAATGGCTTCATGAACTATAGCTTGGGCAACCATGAGTGTGACGAGATAGAAAGGCCGGGCAAGGCATTTTGGAGGCACATGACATGTTGGATGCCGGATTCACGAACCCAGGTTTGAACAGCTGAAAAGGACTTCGGAGCTCTCTCCTGCTGACCCTGCGAACCCCAAACCCACAAATTGAACGTCGATTCGAGCGTGGCAAGACCCTTCATGAGAAAGCGGCCTGCTGTTTCAGGGACGCGATTCTCTGCCTGACTTGTTTGTGGTCGGAGTGGCAGCACGCTGGCCGCCTATCAGCCAACTCGGGCACCAGCTATTACATTACTATAAAGAGCGACGAGTTCCTTGGCAATTCGAGTTCGTTTATCCCAAATCGCATGAAGCATTGTGTGCTTGATCCCTGCCAGCATATATCAGCTAACCTGTCGCTGGCCTGTGCATGGAGCAGACTTGCGAGGTTTTGCAAAATCACGACACGCTTTGGAGCTCGTCTGTGCGTGTACCTGCAGTGTGGCCGCAAAGTAAGATCTCCATCCCCTATCAGCCCTGTCATGCCTTCATGTGCCAGACTGTGATGTCGAAGACGTAGACCTGGCGTGTTGCCATGAACATACGACTGTCTTCATGGCGTTTTTATGATGAGATGTAAAACGCCCAGGCAAGTCCTCGGGATCCTGATTGTCGGAGCGGTTGAAAACCAGCACGAACAAGGTGCAAGTTGGTTTGAGAGCTGATCTGCAAAGAGACTCGCTTACCAGCCACAGGCACTGTTTGCTAAGCCATGCAGGCATCGCCACCGACCTTAACTTCGATTGGCAGCGCATCCAGGAGCTCGCTTCAAGAGCCGAGAGGCAAGAGGGGCGACCGAACCGCAGAGCGGAGGAGCCAACACCACCCCCCAACTGTTCCGTAGTAAAGGGGTCAGGGGAAGGGGTGTTGTGGTGGTGGTGGAGACGTTTACAGGGATCGAGGGTGGTTTTTGAGAGGTGGGGGTAGGGTCTGGAGGAAGAAAGCGGGGCGAGAGGTGGTCAGTCCCCAGCTTGAAGCTACGGCGTACGCAAACAGTATGTCTATTCCAGGCACTCGCACGCTGCTTTAACGGCATGTCGATTATGGATTGATGGGGGGAGTTGTCGTGGTTTGAGTAGCCTCAAGAAATTTTGGCCAGTCAATTGCAACACCCCGTTTCGCAGCCTACAGTAGCTGTAGGATTCAACCAGGAGTCAGCAGGAGACCATCTGAGCTTTTTATATAACATGTTCGTGGACATCCAACATACGATCGTGACAGACCCCCGGCAGGTTTCATTCCATCTTCGACTCCTTGGACAATTCTGCCCTGCAGAGCTCTTCGCCCCTTGGACTCGCAGTGATGCCAGGCTTGAAACTCGGCTTTGTGACCCCTGACAGGCTTGCGAAGATTACCATGGTCACTTCCCCCGGCTCCCACTTGCCATCGTACCAAGACACCAGACATGAGTCGGTGATGGACAGCTGGATCTGAGAAAATCTACGCTTTCTTCGTGGATTGCTATGGCGGGCTTCAAGGCCCTGTGACCTCGGATCATATGCTGTCGACAAGGTGGAAGACATGGGTGTGAGTGGTTGGCACAATTGCCGGGGTGCGCAGAGTGCCTTGTGCCTACTGTACATGATCACACTTCTGGCATCCATTGCTTCAAGTGTCAAGCTTGTTTCACAGCCACAACTTGGGCCACGTGACCAAGTGATGGTAAAAGATGGTAAAGTCCGGATAACGGCCGCGAAGCTCGGCGATGAATTCAGACGACAGGTGAAACATAATTTCGTTGCAGCCCCAACGGCTTTGTTCATCCGTGCGGCTCTTCCGGCAAAGCGGCAACAAGCAGTTCATGGACATCGGCAGTCCAAGAGGCGGTCAACACCCTCACGAAGAAGACCAAAACATTTTTGCAGTTTTTTGCATGCCTCCTCTTGACCTGCAAGCTGCTTTGCGAGGCAAAGCCTGCGAAGCAGCTCAGATTTTACTGCACCAGAGTTCACAAAGGTTTGGGCTACTCAGTGGTGTTTCAGTTCGAAGAACCTCGAAGTGCGTGACTGCAGAGAGCAACTCCCACGCGCGGTCTGGACTCACAGCTGTTTGTTTGATTTGTCCTGCAGTCACTTGCCACACAGCAATTCTGCGACCCAGAGCGTGTGCTCGTTCGACGAAGAAGCCGAGCCAAAAGATTCCAGTAGTCTGCAGCACACAGGGTCCCAAGCGGCAGCTTTTGCGCAGCAAGATGGGTTCATTTTTGCCACAGGCCATGTCATGAGTGAGTGGTGAAAGGCATGATCAATGCACGTGCAGTTCTGCAAGGCCACTTGCACACCTGATCCTCGGCAAGCTTGCATGCTCAGGCTAGCACTTCGCAAACGGGCACGGGTTCCAAAACGGGTGCAGCTGCAATACACAAGCAACCAGCACCAGAACATTCACCGACAGAAGTCTGATGTCACCCTATAACTTCTAGACTCTAGACAGTAGCAGGAGCGCGAGCTCTTTCGCCGAACCGGTGTTGCGCCACCACGACACAGACAAGACACAAGATACAAACCAACATAAACCAACCGTCAGCAAGCAGTATCATACAGATCATCGACGAAGCCTGCGACGGCATCGCTGCAAGGCGTGGGGCTTCGAGCAGGTGGTTTTTGTCTGAAGTGGACAGTAGGGTAGGGACTTTTCTTCTGGATGCACCTTGGGCCGGAATCTTTGAGGTTCCGGAGCTTGTCGGTTTGACAGCAGGGTTCGAGCATACCATCTTAGAGTATGGTGCGCTTTGCACGTTTTGCTTTGCTGATCGGCCGCTTTCCTGCACTAAGTGTGGAAATCTGGTTGTTTGTTCTCTTGGATGAACCTGTGCGCAGGTCGATGGATCCAAGCCGAAGCCTTGGAAAGCAACTTGTAGCTTGACGTCGTCCTTTGTCCAAGTTATCGGCCATGACCCGACAAAACGCAGGTCAGAGCATCGCTAGTCTCAGAAGCCCGCAGGCGGCCCCAGCGCAGTTCAACTTCCAGAAGGTCTCGCAAAAGAGGCAGCAGCCACATCGAGTTGGTGCATGTTTTCTTTTGCTGGTGCTGTTACTAACTTACTGCCCAGGACCTGTTTCAATTTGCATGCTTTGACCTCATGCGACACTTCGTACAAGGGTCGATCTGCCGAGGGGACCAACCTATGCCCATACAGAGGCTTGCTTGATTGACCAGCAAATGATTGCCAACAAACAACGTTCTCCTCACGGGCAATTCAACAAAGCGCGGCCTTAGATCCACATGTCAATGTGTCAACTCAATACGGTGAGCCGTCGCAATCCTTGTACGAAATCGTGGGTGCCCAGAACGGCCTCCATTTCCGTCACATGTGTAATGACCCTGGTTTGGATTGAGCGTTGGCACAAGATTATCTGCATCGAGCCGTCTTGCCATTGTCTTCATGCAGTGGACAGGACAAGTGCGAGGCTCAATGGATGTTGCGAAGATTGCGCACGTGGGGGGTGCGGCCAGGTACTGCGAGAAGCTCCTGCCGAAAATCTTCGATGCCCACGGCCAGGTGACAAGGCAGGACAACGTGAGATGAGGGGATGCAAAAGAACGTGCTTCAGATGCCCATGGAATGTCTCGTTAACAGTTAGAGCAACTGATCCTGAAAATCCGCAGCTAATACACGCGAAGTCAGAACGGCAGAATGGTTGCTGTATGTTGCAGGATGGCTCGCACATTTCATGGCTCAGCAGCTCGACCTGCAGTGTCCGTGCATTTGCCTCGACTTGCGACTAGATCTCGCAATGGCTGACCGCAAAGCCGTCATCAAGAACGCGGACATGGCTGAGGAGAGCTGCCCCCTGTGGTTTCGGGGCCATTCGCTTTCGCTGAGGCGGTTTTTTCAAATTGCGGGTGCTTGTTGGAATTCAATTCTTGCCAGGTCTGCCAGAGCCTCTTGTGCTCATGCCCAGAAGAGATTGGACGAAAGCGACCGCCAAACAGGAAAAGCGCTTCTGAAAGATGTAAGCAAGCCATGGTCGGACGGCAGGGCATCTCAAAGAAAGATTTTTCATCGTGAATTCCACGAATCATTGACCCTTTGCACCGAACCAGAACCACAAGGTTTAGATCCACAGGGCTTTTTCGACAGAGTTGGCTTCTAAAGACGTTTACAGACTTTTAAAAACTTTCAAATGCAAGAAAAAACATTCTAAAAACTTTTAGAAGACTTTAAAAGACTTTTAGAAACTTTTAGAAGACTTTTGCAAACTTTAAAAGACTTTTCAAAACTTTAAAAGGCTTTTAAAATATTTAAAAGACTTTTAAAAACATTAAAATACATTTAAAAGCTTTAAAAAGACTTTCAAAGACTTTTAAACGCTTTTAAAAGCTTTTACAAACTTTAAAAATAATTTGAAAGACTTTTAAAGACTTTAAACAACTTTTAAAAATTTTTAAAAACTTTAAAACACACACAAAAAAAAACTACATTTTTTTAATGTTTTTTCCGAGAAGACGAGGATGAAGAAGACCTGGCACAGGGTTTACAGTTTCAGGGTCTTTAGGGTTTGGGGTTAGAAGGCAGAGTGCCATAGTATTAGGGGTTTGAGGGTAATGAAAGGGTTAGGGTTAGAGTTTCAGGGTCTTTATTATATTTAGGGTTTGGGGTTAGAAGGCAGAGTGCCATAGTATTAGGGGTTTGAGGGTAATGAAAGGGTTAGGGGGTTAGAGTTTCAGGGTCTTTATTATATTTAGGGTTTGGGGTTAGAAGGCAGAGTGCCATAGTATTAGGGGTTTGAGGGTAATGAAAGGGTTAGGGTTAGAGTTTCAGGGTCTTTATTATATTTAGGGTTTGGGGTTAGAAGGCAGAGTGCCATAGTGTTAGGGTTTGAGGGTAATGAAAGGGTTAGGGTTAGAGTTTCAGGGTCTTTAGTATTTAGGGTTTGGGGTTAGAAGGCAGAGTGCCATAGTATTAGGGGTTTGAGGGTAATGAAAGGGTTAGGGTTAGAGTTTCAGGGTCTTTAGTATATTTAGGGTTTGGGGTTAGAAGGCAGAGTGCCATAGTATTAGGGTTTGAGGGTAATGAAAGGGTTAGGGTTAGAGTTTCAGGGTCTTTAGTATTTAGGGTTTGGGGTTAGCAGGCAGAGTGCCATAGTGTTAGGGTTTGAGGGTAATGAAAGGGTTAGGGTTAGAGTTTCAGGGTCTTTAGTATATTTAGGGTTTGGGGTTAGAAGGCAGAGTGCCATAGTTTTAGGGGTTTGAGGGTAATGAAAGGGTTAGGGTTAGAGTTTCAGGGTCTTTAGTATATTTAGGGTTTGGGGTTAGAAGGCAGAGTGCCATAGTATTAGGGGTTTGAGGGTAATGAAAGGGTTAGGGTTAGAGTTTCAGGGTCTTTAGTATATTTAGGGTTTGGGGTTAGGAGGCAGAGTGCCATAGTGTTAGGGTTTGAGGGTAATGAAAGGGTTAGGGTTAGAGTTTCAGGGTCTTTAGTATTTAGGGTTTGGGGCTAGAAGGCAGAGTGCCATAGTTTTAGGGTTTGATAGTATTAGGGATGCACAAATCGCGTGAAGTGGCTACGAACTGCTGGATGTTGCGCTTTTCTGCGTTGACCACACTGTCAAGCGAATCACGTGCAGGCGAAGCAGGGTACAGCTGGGTGACGCGACAACGTCTGGCACTCTGCCTTCCCAGCTGCTGGCACTCTGCCTTCCCGCCTCAAGATCCATTAATTATTGCCACCCCAACTTTGCACAAAGCTGGTCGGTCAAAGGTATTGCTCCAGCATCAAGGTCAGGAAGTTCCCCCGGACCACCGAGACGGATGGCAACAAGTGAGAGGTGTTTCATCTGAAGGACAAACTGCCGTTGTTGTTCATCTTCGTCGTTCCAAACATAAACAAAATCACAAACGAGAGAAACGCGCGGCAACTCCAGCGGTTCTTCTCCTTCACCCACCTGATAACACTTCGGGAAGGGGCCTTCGTACCGTCGAAGAAGCCTGAGGCCTCCTGTAATGCGGGAGCCAATACGTGGCCAGTAACGCAGGTAGCGAACCATGATTTCCCAAGGCACGTCGTCATAAACTTCATTCCATCTCTCAGCTGGTTTCCACTGGTCAGGCGCTTTGGCCAATTTTTCGCAAGCGGTTTTGATCAAGATTGGGGAGAGCTCGCCTCTGAAGAAACACTCTCCTCGTTCGATCGGGGCGAAATGCATTGCTCTGGACGGCTACTGTTCAGTCACAAGCACGCACGGCTTCAAACCACATGTGCTAGTTTGTGCGGCTTCCGGGTTGTGGCACTCGAAATGATTGTCCATGTGCTTGCACGTGACAAATTCCACATGTGTGAAAATGCGAACATGCTTTCGCAATCCGTCTTCCCCAAGCAGAAACACACAGTCTCTCGGACGCATTCCAATCTAGCAGGACCCGCTGCCATCAATGCAAGCACACAGACAGACACACAACTTTTCTTTGCAGCGCAGGATGAATCCTCTAGT